ATTTTTATTAATCTGCTGTATATGTTAAAAGCCAGAATATTGTGCATATTTAACCATTGTACACGGTGGCAGCAACCAATTTGTGTTTTAAGTGTATCTTGTTTATCTCTAATTTAAAAAAAAATTATTTATATAATCAATACATGTTTATCTTAGAGACCTGAGATACGTGTGGGCAGCCATCGGAGTTGGACCACAGTGACAGGACAACATTGTATCTTTGCAAACTACCACTCCCAAGGTACACAAGTCCTGAGGAGATCCGGTAATGGTAAGCAATGGTAAGATGTAAGGAAGTTGTTATTTATATAGCGCCAATATATTCTTCAGCAGTTTACAATCAGAGAATGGGGATAATTGACACAAAGTAATTGACATACACAAATTTACAGAGACAGGAGGTGACGAAGACCCTGCTCAAACAAGCTTACAATGTATGTACTTATACAAGGTCAGAATTGGGTCTATTCCACAACTTGGACAGGCGGCGGAGAATCATAGTGAAAAAAACAACAAAAAGGTGGGAAAAAAGAGACACTTATTTAAACTACATATTTCGTGTTGAGCTACATAAAACACTCCCATGTTAGCCTCTCACACTGGCAGTCACCGTGTAGGACAGGAAGGCTTTGACAAGACGGGGAAGGAGGGGGAGCCGTGGCATACAGACTGATCTTCGGCCACAGGTTTGGCACCTGCATGCTGAGTCAGTTTGACCTTTGAAGCCAATGAACTCTATCAAGGGCAAAACTTTAACAAGGTGCTAAACTTGCTTGTTCTTCTAAATAAAGTTACAGCAGCCGACTGAGGAAGCTTGGATACAAGCGAAACGTGTTTGGCAACTTAAAACTACTGTACCAACTGGGACTCAGTAAATATTGATTTTAGCATTCATTGGTATATATAAATTTAATACATTGGTTTTATTGGATTTGTCTGGTGTCCAGATTGGTCCTGCAGCAAGCATCTATATGTATCTAAAGGGATGTGTGACCCCACAAAGTGACACTCAGCCTTCCTACCTTGGGGCCAGGAGTTTAAGGTTCTGCTTAAGGTGAGCTTAATAACAACTCTAACTATCTGTTAAGTGAATAAGGCCCAGACAATCTACACTATTGTATGTTTTTTTTTCTTCCTTCCTATCCCGTTAGAGGTGTGATGCTGCCTTTAAGAGCATGAAGGTGCTGTCAGTGTCTACAGAGCCAGTTTTCCACAGACTCATGTCCATGTGGGTTGTTAAATTACTATCTATAAAACAAAAGGATACTGTAGCATCTTCACTATATTTTCTTTTTTATGCTCTTGTATTTAATATATTCCATTGTGTACTGTACTATAGAGGGGTAAACGATTTATGCATGTTTATGATTGATTTTCTCTAGAAGCGCTTCACTGTAATATAGGCTTATAACCTATATAACACTTACTTATAGCCTCTCACACTGCCAACTCAAAATACAAAGTGAAAACAAATATATTAGGAGGTGCGCTCAATATCTATTAAAGTGGAAATATTATACCTAACATAAATATTGTAGTGTTGTTTAGTTTAAAATTAATATTCCAATATGCATGTAAAGAAATAAACAGATACGGGACGTTTTTTCTAACTTTGGCTGATAGTGCAAAGTCACGTAACTGCACGTAGCGGAAGAAGTCAGAGGGAGTGGGTGTAATTACTTGCCTCAGGCTATCGAAGCTGAGTATGGTGTCCCCCTGCCACAGGTGATGGAATCTTTGGATCACAGCCCTTTCTAGATTTTTAAAAACGTGTGGTCTCATGCCTGGCGAAAACTGTCTGTTTCGATAGACAGGTGTCATTGGGGAGGGGCTGTTTGCTAGTTTGAATTTTCCACATGTCTGGTCCTAAATGTCTAGGGCGTTGAGTATCGATAGGCAGTTCATCCGTAATAAGGCCCGGGAGGGCCTGTCTAGCCACATGTACAGGTTGGGGATATCGTGTTTCATTATTCTGCTTCTATGTCTGCCCATCTGTGTTCCCCTGGGGGTGCGTGCCCCAACGTGTCTATTGGGCGGTATAATAGGCGTCTCGCCAGTCTGTCGTTTTTGCTGCCAAATGATGGCATCTATTGTAGTCTGTAGGGAAGCTAGGTCTGCTTTGGTCACTTTAATGGGGAGTGCCTGGAACAGGAACAGTAAGCTAGGTAAAATGTTTATTTTTATGCAATGTATACGACCTATCCATGAGAGTTTTTTCCTGCAATTTTTCAATTTCTAGTTTTAATGTCTTTAATAGAGGAAGGTAATTATTAGCATATAGTTTAGTGTGTCTGTCCTATGGTGACTCCGAAGTATCTAAAGGACTTTTTGAGGGGTATGCTGTGGGTTGACATCAATTGGGCTGCCAGTCCGGTATGTGAAAGGGTAATGCACAGGATTTCTCACAGTTGATTTTGAAGCCTGAGACTTCGCTAAAGTCATTTATTAGCTGGATTAAGGGTGGTAATGAATGTATGGGGTGTTGCAATGAGATAAGGATGTCGTATGCATAAGTGGCTGTTTTAAAGCATTCGTTACCTAGTGCAAAGCCTCTAATGGACGTATTGTTGATAGTGTGTAGGAGTGGTTCGATTGAAAGGGCGAACAGTGTCGATGAGAGTGGGCATCCTTGATGTGTGCCATTGTGGATTGGGAAGGGTAGACCCCGGGCCCCTGGCAGTCCCAATTGTACCTGGAGGCTAGAGTACAGGGTTCGTATTGTCATCACCATGGCAGGAGGGAATCCCCAATGATTTAAAAGACTAAATAGATACAGCCAGTTATCCATATTGAATGCCTTCTCTGCGTCCAATGAAAGGAGCAGAGAAGGCCCCCGTCACACCTCTGCGTGTCAAGCCAGGTCAACAACCCTCCAGGTGTTTTCATAGAGCTGCCGGCATGGCATGAACCCCATTTGATCTGCATGGATCAGTTGTGGAAGCACCATTGATATGCGGTTTGTTAGAACCTTGGCCAGGATCTTTGTGTCCGTGTTGATCAGCGATATGGGCCTATAATTGCCCACGGCCATCGGGTCTCTGTCCCCTTTTGGGAGTAGAATGATGTAGGGTTCAAGTCTCTCAGGTCGAGTTTAAAAACACGAAGCAAGTGCGGTATGAGAATGTCCCTGAATGTCTTATAGTAGCTCCCTGTGAAGCCGTCTAGTCCTGTGGCTTTACCTAGACACCTCCCCATCCTCCCAAATATTAAAGTACTACCTAGCCCCCTCACCCTAACAATAGTGAGGTGGAGACCATAAATCTAAATCCCTGTAAATAAATAAAATACTTACCATTTGATGTCTTCTTTTTTCTTAAATCTTTTCTTTTCAGCCCCAAAATAAAAAAACATAATACACATTAAACTTATAAAATAAGTTAATAGATGCCCCACTATGGGGAAATTTTTTAGACTGGGGTGATCACTGTTTAGTAGACTTGCCCCTACTCGCAACAGAGCTCCCTCTTCACTGCCTGGCTCTCCCTCTCCACTTCCTCCCAGCAGCACTTGCGGCTGCTTTTTTTTTAAAGGGGCTCGGTCGCGATATACCACTGCAACAGCGCTGACCGGGCCCCTGAAGATATAGGGCCCATCGGGTGGTCCTAAGTGTCTTAATGGCTACCTGCCTTTATGTCAGTTTACTTCTTTCGCCATTACCTTCTCTTTACTTTTCTTCCTATCTAAACATTTTTCTTTTCCTGTCTCCAACACTCACACTCTCTCTTTTATAATCTTTTCTCTCCATTCTTTAGCACTCACATGCTAACTCACCCAACTATGTCAGCCTTCCAACAGCTGTGGCAAAGCCCCACTCAACCTCGGCCTACATCTCACACTTCTCTGCACAGTGAATACATTTCTCATTCACTCACCAAACTTTTACCACCCCTACCAGCAGGAACATGGTCATTCATGCTAAAAGCCAGAAACTGTAATTGAGCGGATACTGATGATGGATTGTAGTTTACTGAAAGAATGATATTCTGTGACTTGTTTTTTTAAAATCTTGTTATTATTGGTTAAAATGTATCTGGTTCTTTTGGTTTTTAAAGAAATGATGAGATTTGTTTGAGGAATATAAAGAATTGTCCTTTGTGACTGAGAAATAAAAATGTAGACATTATCAGAAAAAGATCCTAATAAATGTACATGCCATTGACTGTACGTTTGCACATATATTTTCAGGGTACCCATCGGCATCATTCTGTCTTGCTGAGTAATACTGTGAGCCACTCCTGTGTCAGTGTTTTTACAGAAGTCCCTATCCAGCAACATTTTAATGCTGCTCTAACCTTGGCTTATTCTCACTCCGTTTTTATTCTGCTCTCCTTTGACCTTACTATCCTTACCTTTTTGTGTCACTTTATCCCACTCCCTCTAGCATGTAAGCTTATTGAGCAGGGCCCTCAACCCCTCTGTTCCTGTGCGTCAAACTTGTCTGGTTACAATTACATGTTTGTTAGTCCACCCATTGTAAAGCACTGCGGAATTTGTTGGCGATATATAAAAATAATAATTTTGTATCTGTCACCTCTAAGAGTAATACATGACTTTATCTACTGCTGTTATAGATTTGAGTGTATAATCCTGACATATATAAAGTATGATAAAATTATTTGTGTAAAAAAAACCAAACTGATTACATAAATGCTCTGTATAAATCCTGATATCGGTCAGTGATAAGCTAGATAGGTTAGACACATAAAACTCTTACAACTGACAAAAATGTTTGGTTTTCATGTCTCCCCTTTACACACACACAAAGCAGGCAGTATCCCGCATCTAGATATTACAGTAAATCTAGCAGTTTAAATAATGTTTTTGCCGTGACATCCTTGCCCTGTCGTGGTTTCCATTGTGGTTCCCGATTAGCAAATTTTTCTGTATTTTCTGACTTCTGGCATTGATCTTGGCTTATTTAATTTGACTTTGAGTATCTCTGTTGCCCTGGCCTTGGCTAGTTCTCTTGTTTTTCTGTATCTCCATAATTCTGACCTTGGCTTGTTTCCGGTTATGAATTTTCCTATATTCTTGCTTTTGCATGGCCACTTGGTGGAACGGTATGAATCTCTATACTGTGTTCTCAATTTTTGTCCTTTAAGTCATAGGATGTAGAGGAATAGACCAGAGAAATGTGTTTCTGTGCTGGATGATGACGTGCTGTTAAAGAACTGTAAAACACAAAAATCCATCCAATCTGTCATCCTCTTCTGCCAAGTATGTTAATTTTTTTAAATTTTTATATCCTATTACACTGTGTACAGGAATATGTTATTTACATTATTAACAGCCATAATGGTACCATAGGTGCTGTGCAGATCCGAATTGCGGCCCACATTGTGATTTGTCTACTAACTGGATAATGAGAGAGCAGAGTAGGTGTTTTTTTTTTTTGTAAATTGAAATAACTTTGTTCATCCTTGATTTAAGGAGGGAAGCAGTGACACTGACAGGGTCTTTTACTAAAATGATAATTCTAAGTGAATTTCAAACTCAAGGTCAAAATAACCTGGAAACAAATCTCTACGTCAGCTCTGCTTTCAGTTTGGCTACTTTTGCTTTGAAATTTAAAATTCACTTTTAAATCTCACTTCTTTTCAGTGAATAACCCTGTGCATGACAACACATTGCAGATTTTGTTAAAACAATTACACACTTGCTGCAGCATAATGAAAAGGTGCATTTTTCCCCAAGAAAACTCAGCAGTACTTGAGGGGAAAAGAAAGAAATCATTTATTTTGATGTTTTCAGATAGGCTTTGTACGTCCCACATTGTGTCCATTGTAACCAGTAGCTTGCTGACATGCATCAGGAATTAAACCGAAGGCTTTGGGATTTGTGGAGAATAATCAGTCAGCACAGAAACCATCACGCCCTGAGGAGAACACACATTGAACATACATTAAAGGCAAATGTAGGGATATTACAGTAAAAAAATTATAACATGTCTTTTTGCTTTCTCATTCACAAAACTGCAGCAGCCACTCTTACTATGGCTTATTTTATATGTACATTATCAAGCTTGATAAAGATCCCAAGAGGAGGGACAAAATATGATAAAGGAATAAATGTGTTATTTTTTGCAAGAAAGTCTAGTGAGTGCTAGCTATTATTTGTGGAGTTTGCAAATATCAAGTCAGTGGTTGAGGCACCCAGGCACAAAACATAGCACCGCCACTCCGTATATAAAGTGCTGCTGTGCATCGCTTTCATCACTTCAAGTTGGACTTTGAAAAGTTCCTCACAGAAACTCAGAGAAGTCATGTTTCTACAACTATCCCAGATAAATAAATAAAAAATATCTACAATGCGTTTTGCCATGCAAGGCTTCTTCAAGTAGACAAAAAAAATACAGAATTGATTGATTACTAATACTTTTTTTTTATTACCAATAAAGGAATCTTTTAATATCGCTTCTATTTGGCATCCTGATTTACCATCTCAAAGAGGACTAAAGAATCCTAGGTGGGGATAATACCACCAGCGCCCTATCCATCGAGCAGTAAGCCTACTCAAACAAATGTGAGTACATCTCCTATAGTATATACCATCCTATGGTTTTATTTCTACAGTGAGCACTATATTTGCCATTTCCTATCTTCTCGGTTTGGAACCTTTATCATTGCTATAACATCTGAAGAATTTATCTACCACATATATCCCAGAAGTGGGGATCATTCCACTTCATGCTATACATACCGGAGCTGGATATAGCTCTGGTAAATGTGAGTAATATTGACTCTATATACATTTTGTAAATATGCCCTATACTATATTGTACCATTGGAGTTCTCTCTTTTATGTTTTCCAATTACAAGCACTCCACCTCCAAGAATCCTTGATTTTAACCAGTCTGGCTGTTCCCTTCAAGACTTTTTATCTACCATATATATACTATTGCATTTGGACCTCACTTGTTTTATTGTATATAATAATTCTGTCATTTCTACTTTGGTATATTCCATTTTTTTAAGGCGCAACCTTCTTCTCCTCTCTTCCTTTCCATTGCATATTGTGGGGTATCAAGAGGCAACCCCTTTTTGTTTGTAGGTGTGCTGCCTTTCATATTATATCATATCTACTGTGGTCGTTCTTAGCGCTGATCCTTTTGTCACTATTTGCCTGATATAACACTCTGCAAATCCCTGAATTTTACAAACAGTTGATTTAACTATTTATGCTAAAATGCTTAATCTCAAATGTGATTACTTCTATTGAAGTTTTAGGAAGATGTGTTGCTAATATTGTCATCAATATCCTAATAAATACCAAAGAGCAGGATAGTTTTTATTGATCTATTTTGCCACACTTGCTATATGTGAAAAAATGTATTTTTGCTGCTTTTCTAATACATCAGACCCTGTGTGAAATATTGCAATATACGGTACAGGATAGATTTAATCCCCTGATATTTATGTAACAGATGAACAAATAAATAGTAATGTGTAAATTTACATAATTTCAATTTGGTTATTTATTAAATTTATATTTTATCCTGGTTTTTTTTGTGTGTGTGTTATATAGATATCACAAAACCATACAGCAAAGTAAAATAATCAGAGCACATTAGGTAGAGGAAATAAGGATACCAGAGCAATCTGATTTACTATAGTAAGAACTATGTATGATCAGAAGAACTGATATAGATCACAAATTACAGTCCTATTATAGACGGGACTCCTACCTAGTAGAGAATTAGACATGCATACACTATAGAGAAAATGCAGTAAGTATAGCATACAGGCTCATAGCCATAATGGCCAAACTCCAAGGAAGTGGACCTTTTTAGAACACTCAAATAGCAAAAGAAAGAGTAAAATGGAGCAAATATAAAGAGGTAAATAACGAATGCACAGCTCTGCTAAGTGAGAGAATGTAATATCCCAAAGAACTAGCCAACTTCTTGATGAAAGAAAGATCATTGTCAATGTCACATGTCTTGTTATAAAAAGAGCCAACATGGACTTACAATCAGGCTTCTGGACATGTACTAGACTGTAGCATGCAGGCAGACTACATATAATAAGTATATCCATCAACAGCACTCTTTCCTAGAACACCAACACCGGGCATATAAGACTTACTTAAATGCTCACCAATAAACCTCCTAGAGGTGACCCATTTTAAAATCTATAATTATCTACACAACTATAATCTATGTGATCTATGCTACTGACATTCTTATCTGAGACATCACAAAAAAAAAATGAACCTAGCATCCAGGATAAATTTAAAAAGTTAACTGCAAGCTTTTATTCTACTGGCAAATCGGGATTTTTAACCTGAAAGCCTAATATATTTAAACTACAGGATTCCTTATGCACCCATGTACCATTGTCATCTATTTTAAGAAATAATTAGGTCACTACGATGGGTACACCCAGGGATCCTCCTTTAACAGGGCTGCATGTTCTAGGTGACTAGGAATAGAAAGGTGGAACTCCCCTGGCTGAAAACAGTAAAACTTGAAATACGAGAAACTGTTGACAGCCAGTAGGCAGGAAAAAGACTGGAGAACCTATCTGGTATTTATAGCTTTATTATTTTTTGTACAAAACAGTGGGTGGAACTAACCCTTATGTGATTATGCCATGGATTAGCCAGGGAATACTGAGACAGGGAATAGTTGTGGAGGCCTAGTCTCCTCATAGCCTCTAGGCCCAAGAGTCATTAACCTGCCAACAGGCATACTTGCAGGCAATAACATTGTGTTTCCAAGTTGATATCTTCGGATGTCTGGCTCTGTCCTGGTTGTAGATGGATGTCATTTGGAGTTGCATAGTTTTTGGCTGAAGCTACTCAGAGAAAGTCATCGAATTTTGCCCAGATCCTCAAAACGATGTGCCCTCAGGCAGACAGGGCTAAGTTTTCTGCATTTTATTCAGAGGTATACTGACAACCTTTGGGATTACTAGGCATGATCGATATGGAGCACGCCCCTTAGCCTACTTTCCAGCTTCATCCAAAATGCAGAACACAATATATCAAATGACCATTGAAAGTTCTAAATATGCCTCAATTGGTGCCCAGTCTGTATGTTCTAGGATGGAGCCTGCAGCCATTTTAGAATAGCAGATTGGATGCCATGTAAGCTGGAAAATAAAGTGTAAGCTTTGATCACGAAGAGCCAAATAAACAGCTGAATGAGTGTGGACTGGTGACTTCCCTCACCAGTGTAAGGGAGATGAACAGGGTTGCAGGTCTCATTCAGAGAGTTTAAGGAAAACACCCATGATTATGGCATAATGAGTACAGAATCGTTTCAGAGTGTTTCCTACACGAGAAAAGTAAGTTTAGCTTCAATAGGTACCCGACAATCTTGTGCTCTAGGCTTAATTTGATATATTATCTGAGCAGCCTATGTTTTGTTCAGTCAGCAGTAAAGCAATATGTTCCTGTATTTGTTTATGTGCTAGGTATGCATCCCATTTTTCCCTTTATATTTTTTGTCATTCACTTTTTATTGTTTTTTCATAAGAGATTTATAGAGAGAGTTTTACAAGTAGTTGAATGACAGTCGTCTCATTGTAAACATCAAACATATGGTTATAGGACCATAGTTTCAGGAAATTCAATCAGACATATATCTTACATCAACATGTTATTAAAACAAACTGTTGCTGGTTTCGTACTGAGTTTGGTATCGGGTGTGACCGGGCAAACCCCTGTGGCCTCTGTGTCGTCTCATTTATATACTAGAATATGGGAGTTTGCTTAATATTAAACTGTTATTGACGGTTCGATCTAGTTGAGCGTATTTAAAATGTTTGGAGGCTGGTCTCATAGCGCTGGCGGTAGGGCTAACAAGTTACTCCTATCCATCAGAGCGTAGGTTTATGGATCCCCGTGTGCTTGTTGTGTAGTTCCAGCCGTCTCCAACCTCTGTGTCTAATGAACTGCCGTCTAGGCGTCCACACTTTCCGAGCTATACTAACCATGGTAGATCCCCCTTGCCACGCCCGACCACTGCGTTATTCCCAACCTAGGAATATTGAGTTATATTCTTATGGTATTTACAGCAGTGGAAACTTTACAATGAGCAACAGAAAAGTGATGTAGATAATTATGTAAAGACAGAGTATTGAAAGCAGAGAAATAGAGAACAGGGAAAAGGAGGGGGTGAGGGGTAAGAATGCGGTAGAGAGAAACAGGAGATGGGAAGAGAGGGGTATAAGGTGTAGAGAGAGGGGCACATGCTCAGTTTGGGAGGGGCACCAGATCATCACTAAAGATTCACCTGCCACAGCATGCCCCATCCATGCCGGGGGAACTCTCCGAAGACCAGCGTCATGTAGGTTCCCGCATGCGCCTTCTGATCCTTGTACATAGATAGCAGGTGCATGTTCTCCATATACTTTCAAATTTGTCCAACTGCCCACCTACCATTTGCATCCCATATTACAAACAAATGCTAGGGTACTACTTATTTAAATAAAAATGCTTATTAGTGTGGATTTTAACAATTGACACTTGAAAGAATCCACTAAATATAGAGATAAACCCCAATATTTTATGCACGTTCAATAAACATTTGACCTGCACTATTGGTATGAAGATTACCATGTGATTCTGCTTTATATAATATTATTGTATCACATTATTAGCTTTTTCGCATATCATACCATGATAGTCCATTTTCTGTTTTCTGCTTCTTGGAAAGCTAAGGACTTTGGAGAATAGAAAACTTCATCATCAACTTCTTCTGGCTTTCTTGGCAAGCAATGGAGAAATACCCAGTCGGGTGATGCAACTTTCCCTGTCTTAATGACGAAATTAAGGAAAACAAGACACTGATTATATAAAGAAAAAGTTATGATCATAGGAAAATATGCAATTGCAATAATAAACCTACACAGGATTAATATATATTCTTAAGGACAGTCAGCTGTAAATGTGTAAATGCTACCCAACATGATAAATGATACCCCTTAGCTATTGATTAATAAGATCCATAAAATTCTCTAGTACTGCTGATGTGGTAACTCCCTCGCCTGCCCTGTTTGATGAAAGTGAATATAAAAATCAAATAAGAAGCATGATAATCCCTTTATATTAAGGATTAAAAACAAGCCAAAAAATGATTCTCTGAAGCTGGAGTTTCTCTTGTGTAGAGGAAACCTGCCTGAATGGATTTGGATCTTATGTTGGAGACCAGACTGATATTTTTATGGTAATTCTCAAATAATATATATAATAAATTTGCTTACGTTTATCTCCATCATTGCCTCCTTAATTTTATTTTATTTTTCCCAAGCCTAGATTTTTTTCCCCCAAGCCAAGATGTTGATTTAATTAGCCAATCAATGTAGGAGTTATGTATGTTGCTTAGATTTTGGCTGTCAAGTCTAGGGCTGATCTGCAGAATTTGCTAGACTGGCCTTAGTTCTGGCTGCTAACATAGGATACCTAGCTAATTAGCTTATTATATTTAGAAACAACATCCATCCCGCCCCACCACCTGTTCCCTCGATCCTATTCCCTCATATCTCATCTGCCCTCTGTCTCCCTCTCTTGCTCTTCCTCTCACAAACAATTTCAATCTCTCCCTTTCCTCCAGTAAATTTCCTTCACCCTTCAAGCATGCAACCATAAAGCCGATTCTGAAAAAGCCCAACCTTGACCCCAACTCCCCATCCAACTTCTGCCCTATATTGCTACTGCCATTTGCCTCCAAGATCATTGAGAGAGTTATGTATGCGAGATTAACAGACTTCCTTGAATCCAACTCTCTGCTTGACCGTCTTCAGTCTGGATTCCGCGCTCGTCACTCTGCTGAAACAGCTGTGACCAAAGTATCCAACAATTTAATCGCTGCTAAATTTCGCTGCCATTACTCTATCCTAATTTTCCCTGATCTTTCTGCTGCCTTTGACACTGTTGATCATTAACAGCTTCTTCGCATTCTCCGTAATCTCACTCTAGAGGATACTGCTCTCTCCTGGTGCTCCTCCTACCTCTCCCAGCACTTTTTCAGTGCTTCTTTCTCTGGCTCTGCCTTTTCTCCCAATCCCTCTCTGTTGGCTTTTCCCAAGGTTCTGTCCTTGGGTCCCCTACTGTTCTCTATCTATACTGCCTCCCTTGGTAAAATCATCAGCTCCTTTGGCTTCCATTATCATTTATATGCAGATGACACACAAATCTACCTGCCCTCCCCTGAGTTCTCTCCACCCCCATCTTGACTCGTGTCTCTGATTGCCTCTTCGCGATTTCCAACTGGATGGCTGCTCACTTCTTTAAACTCAACCTGTCCAAAACAGAACTTCTGGTCTTTCCTCCCTCAAGTGTTACTACTCGCTACCAGTGTCTGTCTCCCTCCAAGTCAATGGCACCACCATCACCTCTACCTCACAGGCTCGCTAACTAGGTGTTCTCTTTGACTCCGACCTCTCCTTCACCCTTCATGTCCAGTCTATCGCCAAATCCTGCCACTTCCATCTCAAAAACATAGCTTGCATCCGCCCTTTAACACAAGACGCGGCTAAGGTGCTGGTCCATGCCGTTGTTCTTTCTTGCATTGACTAAAGCAATCCCCTTCTCAGTAGTCCTACGTATTCCCAGATTGCACTGCTGCAATCTATAATGAATGCGGCGGCGAGGCTCATTTTCCTGTCTGCCTGCACCTCCCTCGCCTCCCCCCTCTGTCAGTCTACATTGGCTTCCAGTTAGATATAGGGCTCAAGTTAAGATTCTGGTGCTTGCTTACAAGTCCCTACAAATAGGTCCTGTCGAGGCTCCTGCGCTCTGCCGAAGACCTATGCCTATCCTCTGTACGTACTCCCACATCTGCTGCTTGCCTCCAAGACTTGTCCAGGGCTGCACCTTTTCTGTGTAACTCCCTTCCCTTCTCAGTTAGACTTTCACCCAGTCTCCACTCCTTCAAAAAATCTTTGAAAACATTTCTTCAGGAAGGCACATCATTTAAACTGTTAGCGGGTTTTCATCCCCCCCCCCAATGACTCCTCTCCTGCAGCTGTCAAAAATAACCCACTAAGTTCTCAGTGATTACTTTTCTAGCATTTCATTACCCCTACTTATACCCTTTGTGTCACTTTACCCCACTCCCTCCAGCAGACCAGGGCCCTCAACCCTTCTGTTCCTGTGCATCCATTTGTCTGGTTATAATTTCGTGTCTGCAGAGGCAGCTCTCTAATTAGGCGATTTAGGCGGCCGCCTAAGGCCTCACACTTATTGGGGCCTGGCGGCCACCTAAATCACCTTAGGGCACACTGAACTGTCGGGTCCTCGGTCCATGACCGAAGACCCGACAGTGAGAGGGGGCCCGGCGGCTTGCCCAGTATGCCGCCGGTTGGCCCCTCCACATGGTCTGCCCACAGAGAGAGCCATCCTCTGATCTGCAGTTCTGCCGAGTGCAGAGCTGCAGATCACATAATGTGGTTCTCGCGAGCTCACAGAGCGTTGCCGCGGGTTACCACGGTAACGCTCTGAGAGGCGCTCGCGAGAACGAGGTCTGCAGCTCTCATGGAGCTGCAGACGGAACAGTCACCCCGCCGGACCACCAGGGACTTCAACCACTGGACCACCAGGGAATTATATTACAAAATAAGATATTTCAGTGTGTGGAGGCTTGTCACAGCCTCCACACACACTGTCCCCAACACTGCCCTCCCACCCACACTGCCCTCCCACCCCCACTGCCCCAACACTGCCCCCCCACCCATACCTTGCCCCAACATACACTGTCCCGCCACCCACATACCCTGCTCCCACACTGCCCTGCCAGTCCTATACCCTGCCCCCCACACTGCCGTGCCCACCACATACACTGCAACCACGTTGCCTTGCCACCCACATACCTTGCCCCCCACTGCCCTGCCCACGACATACACTGCACCCACATTGCTCTGCCAGCCACATATCCTGCCCCCCACATACACTGCTCCACATGGACCACCAAATGCCCTGCCCCCTCACTGCCCTGCCCCCCAGACACACTGACCACCCCATACCCTGACCACCACGTACACCGCCCCCACACTGATGACCACCACATACACTGCCCCCCACACTGATGACCACACTGACCACCACATACTCTGCCCCCCACACTGACCCCACATGCCCTGCTCCCTCACTGACCACCACATACACTGCCCCCATATACCCTTCCCCCACTCTGACCACCACATACACTGCCCCCACACAAACCACAGACACTGTTCCCCACCCTGACCACCACATACACTGCCCCCACACTAACCATCACACTGACCACCACAGACACTGTCCCCCACATTGACCAGCACATACCCTGACCCCCACAATGACCACCACATACCCTGACCACCAAATAACCTGCCCCCCACACTGACCACCACATAACTTGCCCCCCATGTACCCTGCCACCCACAGAGACCGCCACATACCCTGCTCCCCCACACTGTCTCCCACATACTCTGCCACCCACATGGTCACACACCCTGGCCTTCTACACTGTCATACACACTGCCCCCTCTACACTGTGCCCCACACACTTTGCCCTCCCACACTGTAACACACCCTGTCACCATCCTCCACACTGCCACCCCAGTGGGGGGAGGGTTTGAGATAGCCTGTAGATTTTTTTTGGGGGGGGCAGCAGCCTGTAGATTTTGGGGGGCAGCACCCTGTAGATTTTGGGGGTCAGCAGCTATAGATTTTTGGGGGCAGCAGCCAGCTATAGATTTGGGGGAAGGGGCAGCCTATAGATTTTTGGGGGCAGCCTATAGATGGGGGCAGCAGCCTATTTGGGGGGGGGCAGCAGCCCTATAGCCTATAGATTTTGGGGGCAGCAGCCTATAAATTTTGGGGGGGCAGCAGCCTATAGATTTGGGGGGGGGAGCAGCCTATAGATTTTGGGGGGGCAGCAGCCTATAGATTAGGGGAGTGAGGCATGGGGGGGCAGCCTATAGATAAGGGAAGTGAGCATAGGCGTGCGCAGCCTATTGCATTAGTGTGTGCACCCTAAAGCACAAACACACGCCATGTGTATATGTATGTGTGTGCGTGTGTATATATATATATATATATATATATATATCTGTTTTATATATATATATATATGTATACACACACACTGCTGTGTGTGTGTGTGATGGTGCTGTTAGTGTGCTGTGTGTGAGGGTGCTGTTTGTGAGGGAACTGGTAGTGTGCTGTGTGTGTGTGTGAGAGGGTGTTTGTGTGTGCGTGTTTGTTCGGGTCCTGTTAGTGTGCTGTTTGTGTGCGGGTGTTGTGTGTTTGTCAGGGTGCTGTTTGTATGAGAGTGTGCTGTTTGTGTGTGGGTGCTGTGCGGGTGTTGTGTGTGGGTTTTGTGTGTTTGTGAGGATGCTGTTAGTGTGTGTGGGTGCTGTGTGTGCAAGGGTGATGTATGTGTGTAGGTGCTGTGTGTGTATGTGTGTGTGTGGGTGCTGTTTGTGGGCTGTGTGTGCTGTATGTGTGTGTGCTGTATGTTTGGGTGGAGGTGGGGGCAGTCTAGTTAATATCCCAATCCTGCTGCCTTCCCTGGTGGTTCAGTGGAGAGTGAACTCTAGCCCGGGTTCTCTGCTGCCTTCCTCCATGCTGCTGTGGACCGGTGAGGTAGAACTTTGATCTTCCCACCGGCCCGTGGAGGCTTAGACCGGAGCCGCCGCTCGGATAGCGTCGGCTCTGCATGAGCCGACCGGGGAGATCCAGAGATCTCCCCTGTCGGTCTCAATCCATTGGCATGCCGCGGGGATTAGGGTGTGCCCAGTGCGCACGCCTATAGAAGTGAGGAATGGGGGAGACAGCCTACATGAAGAGTCAGCAAGGAGCAGGAAGGTAAGGTAAGAAAAGGAGAAGGAACAGAAATGAGCAGGAAGGGACATCAAGGAGCAGAAAGGGGCAGCAAGGAGCTGGAAGGGACAGCAAGGAGCACAAAAGGTAAAGTAGGAGAAGGAGCACAAAGGAACAGAAATGAACAGGACGGGTCAGCAAGGAGCTGGAAGGTAAAGCAGCACAAAGGTAAAGTAGAAGGAGCAGAAAGGGTCAGAAATGAGCTGGAAGGGGCAGAAGGAGCACAAAGGTAAAGTAGGAGAATGAGCAGGAAGGGGCAGCAAGGAGCAGAAAGGGGCAGCAAGGAGAACAAAGGGACAGCAAGGAGCACAAAGGTAAAGGAGCAGAAAGAATCAGAAGGAGCACAAAGGTAAAGTAGAGCAGAAAGGGACAGCAAGGAGCACAAAGGTAAAGTAGAAAAGGGAGCAGAAAGGGACAGCAAGGAGCACAAAGGTAAAGTAGAAAAGGGAGTAGAAAGGGTCTGCAAGGAGCAGAAAGGGATCAGAATGAGAAAGGAGCAGAAGGGCGCAAAATAAGCAGAAAGTAGCAGAAAGGTAAAAGAGCAGAAGGGGCCAAGGATAGAAAACAGTGTCAGAAGAAAAAAAAAGACTGTCAAATGAAGGAGAGGAAAAGGAGATTGGAGCAGGAAGGACAAATGAAGTGAACCCTCCACTTTATTCTGGACACCACATCATAAGGCTTTGGTACCTGGGCCAGGCAGGGAAACGCTGGACCTTCTCATCTCCAAAGGTAAAAAAATATCAGTATTAATGTGTTCACTTTTATTTACTGAGTGTCAGGAAGCACAGAGTGCCGTTGGGTAGGGGTGTTGCTGATTGGCTAGAGTGGTCAGCTGGCACTCTAAGCCCATCAGTAGCTCCCCATTCATAAAAAAGTAAAAATATTTTATGAACCGGGAAGTAGCGATTGGCTTAGAGCGTCAACTGTCCACTCTAGCCAATCAGCGGCACCCATGCCTGATGTCAATCTGCACTTCCTGACACTGTTTCAGAAGCCAAATACCACTGAGTTACCTGGAGCTGGAGGAAGCCTTTGGGGTTAAACCATTTGAGAGTGATTTAACCCCTTGAAGGAAAGCGAGCACCCAGGGGCTTCCTGGCATCATTGTATTTTCATTTAGGTGAAGTTGTTATGGTGACCAGAATGGTCCTTTAATTTGCTTTAAGGAACACTATAGTGTCAGGAATACAAACATATATTCCTGACACCATAGTTGTGAAAACGCTATTCACCCTGGCTTTATGTGATAATGGCTATGCCCCTTCCCTTTCATGACACTGTCAAAAAGGTACCAAGCATGGATGTCATTACAATTATGCCCCCCCCTGGAAAAATTCCTGCGGACGCCCATGCACCCACTCACACCCTGCCCCCGAAACTGTAACATTCCTCCCTCACCCTGTTACCCTTTCACACACTTGCACCTCATATTGTCAGCCCCAACACTAAGTCACCAATACATACAGTCACCACTCCCACACACTGCTCCTGCACACACTGCTACCCTTTCCAACACTGCCTCCCACACTCTCACCTACCCACCGTCACAATTCCACACACATACAGCCACCCCCCACACTGTCACCCCCCACATGCTGTCATGCCCCCTTCACCCAGCCTCGCTCACATTAACCTCTCCTAATCTTGTCGCTCTCACCCCCTCCATCCATACCACAATTACCAGCCCTCGCTCTTCTACACTCACCCTATCATATTAATCCCCCTAATCCTATCACACTCATCTTCTCTCATACTGTCACACTCACCCCCAACCCTGTCACACTCATCCTTTTTCACATTAACCCTTTCACTTGTGCCCAACCATGCCACACTCACCCTTTCACATAATCCTGTCCGACTCACTTTCCCTCGCCCTGTCACACTCCCTCCTCCAGCCATGTAACACAAAACCCATAACCCTGTCAAACTTATCCCCTCTTCACCCTATCACATTAACTTCTCCTATCCTGTCACTCATCCTGCCTAGACATGCCACACTCACCCTGTCACATAACCCTCCCTCATCCTGTCACTCTCACCTCCCCTCGCCCTGTCACACTTTCCTCTTCAACCGTGCCACACTTACCCCAACAGTGAATACAGAGACTAGCTCTCTGTATCCAGCGCTGCAAGCCTGTCATACAATATAATTAACTACAGCTCATTATACACACGATGCAACCCCTATATGTTTTTTTTTACTATGCGTGTTAGTGGGGGGCCTCTTGTTTGAGTTTCACCTAAGGCCTCATAAAGTATACAGCCGCCACTGCGTGTCTGTTACTCCACCCATTGTACAGCGCTACGGAATTTGCTGGTGCTATATAAATAATAAAATAATAATAATAATCATCAAGTACCTTCATTGTGATCTGGTAACCTTTGAAATCCATCACGCGTTTCTTCTTTTCTGCTTCTTGTCCCATGCTTACCCACGTGTCTGTAATCAATACATTGGCTCCACTTGCAGCTTCCAGGGGATCATTTGTGATAAATAGTTTGGTGCCAAACTATAAAAGAAAATATGGAAAAAAATGGGTCAGTGAGTATTTTTTATATTTCTGAGTGGATATTCTAATAAAGTATAAGCTGTACATACTACGAGTAAAAACAAAAATCCTATAGTATTAATAAACGCTAATGCCAGTTATTCTGTAAACCGTCGGTTGTGTTGGGTTGAATAAATAATTCCATATTTCAGAGAAGAGAGCCAACTTGGAAAAAAAAAAAGTAATTGGTCAACTTACTAAAACCTACTATTTAAGGAACCTCAGTGTCTAATGCAAATTCAGCAAATTCGTAATCTCTGTCAGTTTATGGACAGGCACAGCTCTGGCAGGGGAGATTGTACATCTTGGCATGGAAATAGGAGGAGATTAACAAATATATTCAATGTTTTGAGGAAATAATGTTACATTTGCTTATTGGATGGGACCTATTGCACATACATGTTACCTTTCCCCGAGCTCTGCTTTCAAGGTGGGCTCTCACATACTGGAGACATGTTTATTCATGATTTTGTACCTGTTGCTCAATTAAAACCTTATTACAATATTGAACATAAATATTATTATAGCTCCTATTACCTGAAACTTTCTCCTATTTTACACATAGAGCTGTCTGCTTCCTGCATTGACTTCTGCTTTGTGCTACACTGTGTTGACTTTTCTTCTTCTGACGTGGACTAGGACTAATGACTATTCTGCTGTCTACCTACCAGTGAGGCATTTTTCACATCATACTTCACTTCTTTCTAAACCCTTGTTTACAATCAGGGACCAGTGGCTACATGACCCCTTGGGCTTAAAATATGAGGACTTGATGAAGGCTGAAAATAGGGAACATTTTATTGAACAAACCACAGGCTTATATAAACAAACCCCCAACATGGGGTCTCCAGCATAAGCGTAGGTAAGCCTGCTTATGCGCCTTTTTGTCTGGGAGAGAATTGCACACACCACTTAATTCAATTAACTTCCTGGCATGCAGGCGCTAATACAATTATCACATGTGGTATCCCTGGATATTTCATTCCCAAGCGTCCAATCTGGTAGCAGAAATGTCACACGGTTAACGTTTTGACTGGCTGTAGCTAAGATCCATGCCAAAAACTATTTAAACTGTCTAAACTCTGCTTTAGCCATAATATCAGTAAGGGATAGTCCATATCTAGTTAACTTAAAAGAGGGACAGTGCTAGTGGATTCAAGGCACTAATTAGAATTCAATGAGATGTCATGGTTATAACGCCTACAGTGTCTCTTTAAACATAGAAACATAGAAACATAGAATGTGACGGCAGATAAGAACCATTCGGCCCATCTAGTCTGCCCAAATTTAATATTGTAATAAGGTTTTAAGAAACATGGTTTAAATTAATAATAATGTTTTAGATACAGCATTCCTTGTAGTAACATAATAACAAAGAGGAAAGCAGTATGCTTTATATTACAGGAGTTAGAATGTTATATACCATGTAATACACATTTTGCATTAATGTTACAAAACATACCTCTTTAGCAAACTGTTCAGCTGCTGCAGTTACTGAAGAATCAGCTTCATAGCCCTGCAAAAAGCAATATATCAAGTCACTGTCAAAGACCATTTAAAAACAACATAAAAAGTCAAACATTCCCGGGTCAATTGGTATCTTTCATAAGTAAGCAAAATGTGCATAGCAATATGCCTAAAATTGGAATTGATGTACACCCCATATTGAACATGTTGACACTGCAAAATATTTGTTATTGTGATTTAAAAGAAAATTACTGCTCCTGTCCAAATTTGTTATTTAATTGCGTGCATGCTTCCTAAAAGTATTTCACACTGGACACATGTTGCAGGTTGCTGAAAGACTTGAGGAATGTGTTTATTCCGAGGGGTGAGAGCCCCTTATAAGCCAGAAATACGTCATATGCATAGTCATAGATAACACAAAGTATACATTTAACAATTGGTTAACAGTCTAAGGGGTCTTTCCTGATACCATCCCACTGGGCGTGACCCATGCATCGTCACATGACATTCCTTTGTATCCCTGCACCATTTTATTACACGTGGCAAGTTCTTGAGAGAGAGCCGTGTGAAGGACTTTTATGTATTTGCCTATATGCTTCAGTTTAATCCTTTCCCTGCTTTTTTAATGTCTATATTGTTCGGTTCAAACTGTTGAGAATTAATGTATTCGTGTACCGAACGGGGACCACATACCCTGGGTAGCAAGTAGCAATTAGAACACAGAGAAAACTGCAACTTAATTGCTACTAGGTGGCCGCCATTCGACATATGAACACGTGGCGAGAACAAAGGATGGCGGCCATCTTAAAATTCACGAATGCGGTCAGCGGGGCTTACGTATGAATTGCATGGAACTGTTTTCGGTACGGGAACCATGCGAACGCCCGGTCCCCATGGATGTCCTGGATGAATACGTTCCCCTTCACGAATCAAACTGGCGTTTGGTAGATAGTATCTACCGAATGAGGGGAACATTCACAGGTAACCAGCTGAACCATACGAACGGTGGTTTTCGTGTAGTTAGATGCGAACGGAGACCGGCTCTTGCTACTGATTCTATGGAACTGTAACTCGCATACCTCCACATGGCAAGCCGGTCAAACTTCCACACGATGCGACATGGAAACTACCGAACGGAAATTCGTGAGATTTGGATATGTGACTACCAGTATCCTCAGCTACCCAGGGATGTCAAAAGTATATTTGTATGTCTTATAAAAAGTTTGTTTCTGAAATTGTTATAAATTGTAATGTTTCTGGCCAGCAGATAATTGAGCTTTGTGTATTGTAGAAACTCAATTATCTAGCCTGGCCCAGAGGAGGAGTTTTGTGTTGCATAAATTGTGAGTTCTGTGTGCCAGTAAATTAGTCTTGTTCCAGCATTAAGCTTTGGCTCATGTGTGGATTATTCGGCGATTCCAGGCATATTTCTGTTTATGGAATATTGAGTGCTTTTCTTTTATGGGAAGAAGGGAATACTTGACGGGGATATTTTTTACTACCGTCACAAGCCATTACTGAACAAAGGAGGCAGGGGGAAAGGTTAGAAAGGGAAGCAGTTCCTCTGGAAGCCAATTTAACACAGTGAATCTCCATTTTGTTACACAAGGGCTTTGCTCGATGGGAAGGGGGGGAAGTGAGCAGTCACTGAATAAAGGAGGGGGAGGGGCTGAAGGGGAAACAGTCACTGAATGAGCACAGATGCACAGAGTAAAATAGACATTTGATCCATTCAAGTATTTTGTCCATAACACTTGTGTATTACAGACTTGCTATGCAGTGGTTTTTTGTTTGTTTTTTGACATTCTTTATTTAGGTTTTTGTCTATAGGAAACAATTAGACATATAACAGTATAACAATATAACAATAATGTACGCGTCGGGTGTGCGACAGTGTTATCTTGTAGGGACAGCAGGGGTACTCCTCTCTGCTCTGACATAGGTTGCTCATTTGGTTACAAGCTGATGTTTATCGAGCAGCGGTAGGGTCCATGGGTCCCTTTCGAGCAATAGTATTTGATTGTTCCAGTTCCAGACTGTCTTCCAGTGGTGTATACCCTCTCAATCTCCTCTCTCCACCCTGGCTCTCATGTTCTTAATTCTATTTTTTGTTTGGTATTCTATATTTTCTAGGTTTCTTGGTGTTTATACTCTGGGGCTATAACTTGTGGTGGACTTTGACAAACTTTTACAAACTCGGGAGGTAGGTTGGGCTGTACAACCCAGTAGGTAAGGGGGGTGTATGTTATTGGATCCCAAATGGGGGCTCTGGGAGCGTCCGACCGGTGGGTTTGGTGAAGTTATACAGGTGGGGCGGGTCATTTGAGCACGAGTTTGTCTGGTGGCAGCCGGTTAGCACTTGTTCTCTGGTAGGGTGGGATAGAGGTCTGAAAATTTTTGTGTGCAGTTATGTGTCTCTATCGTTGTCGTGGTATGGGTGGGGCAGGGGTCTATAGGTATCAGGTGTGTTTGATGTCGCCCTTCGACTGTGGGCATCTCTCTGACCCCTGTTGGGGGTGAGGGATCTTTATGCTCGTATGCCCCCTGGGGGATCCGCTCAACCCAGTCTCCGTTTTCTGGTGCCCTTGAGGTGTCCATTCGGGGGTCCATGGGTACGTTGAGGTCCCCTGCCAGGATCAGGAGTCCCTCCCGGAAGCCCTCCAGAAGCTGTAATGTTTTAGAAATGAAGCGGTGTTGTATGGCGTTGGGGGCATAGATTGTGGCGAAGGTATAGCGCCTGTCTGCTATCGTGCCTTTGAGGAATAGGTAACGGCCGTACGAGTCTGCCTTTTCTTCTGAGCAAATGAAGGGTACATGGAGTGCAAAGACTATGGCTACCCCTGCTTTCTTGGAGTCACTGTGGTTTGCAAAGTACCCCTTTGGGTACCTCAGGTCTCGGAGTGCCGGGGCATTCGTCCCTTGGAAGTGGGTCTCCTGGAGGAGGGCTACCGAGGCCCTGACCGCCCATAGGGATCTCAGCAGGTATGACCTCCGTTCTGGGGCATTCACGCCTTGAACGTTTTTGGACTAGAGACACCCGGTACCCGGGAGGGCCATGACCACTGGCTCAGCGACACAGGGGAGGGAAGGGGGAAAGGGGGACGGGGTTGTACAGCTCCGGTTGGGCTGGCAAGTAGGGGGGTAGGTGCGCGGGGGTCGTAAGGTCTGTGCAGTATGGGTGTTCTGTCTTTGTTAAGTGTCCAGGGCGACCGTTGTGTTCGAACAAAACAGTAAAACTATATACAATGTCAGACTTGACTGTCTAGGTGGGTGAGTCGAGCGGGACTGTCCTAGTGTTTGTAACAGTCTGTCTATGGGTGCGTGCGCGGCCTGCAGTGCAGACCGGTGAGTAGAGCGGGTGCGTCTACAGATGTGAGCTACCTGTCTTCTATGTATGTAGTCAGCGCCCTCCCCCCTGGCCCGTAGTGCCCATCTGGGGCCTTTCTCTACTGGGGTAAGGTCGGGTCTATGTGGACACGGGTCAATCTCCATCACAGGGGTCCCAGGATCCCGGGGAGCACTCGGGTGGTTACCATCAGTGGGTCTTTGTGGCTTCATCCTGAGGGGCTCCCTTCTCCCTCTTTATCCCATATACTGGGCCCCCCCATTAAGCCAGCCTCGCTGCTGCCCTGTTCCCATGTGGGCAGGTTCCCTCCCCACTGAACCCAGTGCCCCATCGGGTCACCCCACCCCCCACCCAGTGTCTGCCAAGTGCAGTCCATGTGTTGAATAGCAAACGTCTCTCTTCTCATCGGTATCCCCCCCACCCCAAGCGTCCATTCTGCCCAGATCCCACCCAAACTCCCGGGCATACTCAATGTCTCCTAGGCCCTGAGCTATCCTGGGTGCTAGAGGCCGTTGAGGTCTGGGCCGCCTAGGTGAAGGGTATGAGATGGGGGGGCCAGCGACCGTTGAGTCATATCATGACAGGAGGGCCAGTTCCCTAAGCCATCCGTGGGGTTGCTTCATTTAAGCTAAACCAACCCTCTATGAGTGAGCACATCCCCGTATCCCGGACCAACCCCAGTACCTCACGGCCCGGCAGCCGCCGGACCGCTCAAGCTCCCGTGCTTCTTCTCTCTGGGTCGCGGGTGGTCGGTTTCCATCGCCCGTGTCCTGTCGGGGAGCCAGGGGGTGTCTAGGAGCCAGTTGCGGATGTGGATGTTCGGTAGCCTGAGGGTCCGTAGTGCTCGTGGGACGTCATCCGGCCAGTGCACATGGACCCAGGCGTTTCCGTGCTTTATCTGGAGGCTGAAGGGAGAGATTCCACCGGTAGGAGATTCCCCTATCTCGTAGAGTGGTCGTCAGGGGCTGGAGAGCGTGCCTGGCATCCAGGGTGAGGCTCGATAAATCTTGGAAGAGAGCCACCTCGGCTCCCCTGAACCGGATGCCCTCTGCACTCCTGGCGGTCGCCATCAATCAGTCCTTTACGATGTAGGCATGCAAACAGCAGAGGACGTCCCGTGGTCTGCCGTCCGGTCGCTGCGGTCCCATTGCCCTGTGCACCCGTTCAAATTGTATCTCAGCCGGGCATTCCTGGCCAAGGATCTGCTGGAAGAGGGCTCTTAGGGTGTCAGGCAGGGGAGTTGTATCGGGTTCTGGCAGACCCCATATCAGGATGTTCTGTCTTCGGCTCCGGTTTTCCAGATCCTCTACCTGATGTTGGAGGGAGAGTAGTAGGTTCCCTTGTCTTATTGTGGCCAGTTCTGCAGCCTGATGTTTAGTTTCTAGGGCCTCCACTCTCACCTCCACTGCCGTCAGGTCTGCGTGTAGGGCCATGATCTCCTCCCTGATGGCCGTCCGGAGCTCTCTCAGAAGACCACCCGAGTCCGCTTTGGTGAGCATTTGTGTAGAGATCATGGTCAGCTCCTATCTGATCCGGGCTAAGGTGTCTTCCTGGGCGCCACCTGGTAGGGAGTCTCCCAACCTCTCCAGGCTCGGGGATCCGGGTGCCATTTTGTCCGGCGTCCAGGGCTGCCATGTGCACACAAAGTCGCCAAGCGTGCCCGTGTGGCGACGTGGGGAGCCACTTAAGGCTTGAGGCTTCTTGTTCTGAACCATAGGTAGTAAGGCCGCTTTTTATTGCTTTTTGTAGCCAGGGGGTGAGGAGTTCGGTCTCTACTCGACCTGTCGCATGCTCGGCTCGGCTATGCAGTGTTTTGTCTTCCAGAACAAAAATGGTAGGCAGGAGTGACCAGATTTCACCTTTAACCGAGGACATAAAATATCTATCTATCTATTTATCTATCTATCCAGAGTAATGATTCTAGATTAAATCTGGTTGTTTGTAAACTATAAGAAAGAAAATATGTGTTGTTTGCCCTATGCCAAAAAAATATAACAATTTCTGAATCTTTACCTTTGGGGTTGCAACACGTAAGTGCATTCCACATTTGGCTGCACTCAGCATGATTGAGTGTAGAATATTGTTCCCATCACCAATCCACGATAAAGTCAGTCCATTCAGATGCCCAAAATGTTCCTGTGAATTGGACCATATGATAAAATTGGTTTCAACATTTAAATAATATCCAAACATAGATAACAAATAGAGTTAGCAATATCTCATATAGCTGCCTAACTCACTGCTTCAAGGCAGTCCCCATACATGAGATAATAATGCAACCCAAATCAACCCCCCATTACACCAAAACAAATGGGATAAGTGAAAACATAAAGTAGATTGTCGCACGTTTCGGCGCATGCTGGCGCTTTCGTCAGGAACTAAATGCAATGTTTCATTAGATAGCATAAGATTAGCAGATTTAGGTTTTCGCTTCTCTCTCTTTTTCCCTTTAAGCCCTGCCTTCCCTACCTATTATCTCTGACTCTATATACCCCTGGGAAACAAGGTTACTTTGAGCACTTTTTATTTTTTTTAAAACTCTAGTTGCGGAAATTTAATCTCTAGCTAGATAATTAGAGATTTCAATCTATAGAATTTGTACATTGTCTCTGAAATTTTATCTCTAGTTAGATCATTTGTATAATAGATCTTATGTAGCTTTCAGCTGCTGAAATGTCACCTTTAACCCAGACTTCTGTACCTATTATACATTTAACGTTTTCATTAAGTTAGCTATTGCTAATAGGGGTCTGGAACATCTTTTTATTGTTTTACTTTTAACTATATAAGAACAAATACTAAGCTGTGGATTACACTACTAAATTGATTAAGGAATAGATTTTAATAAACATTTACTCTATGCCAATAGTTTAAATGTGTGAATTAGCTCTAATTACACCCGATTCTTATAAACCCTGTGCTGATAGCTTTGAGCCCTTGCATTAATTGGAGATTTTATAACTCGACAGGAGGCTTCATATTTGCTTAAGTCTCTCTTTACTAGAACTCCACAGCAGCACATTAACCCCTTAACGCCGTTACGGCGTTCTATGCCGTTGCGGCTTTAAAGGGCTTTAAAGCCGTTGCGGCGGCATAGAACGCCGTAACGGCTTTGAGCCCCAGGGGATCACAGCTACTTACCTCCGCTGCGATCTTCTTCTGGAGGGCTGCCTGACCGCCCAGGCAGCCCTCCCCGGCGAATGAGGCCCCCGGGGCCCATGTGATCGCTCTCAAAGAGCGATCACATGGCCCCCTATAGCTGGCTATGGATCTGCCAGCAGGTGGACTGTCTGAAATGTCAGACAGTCCCCCTGCTGGTGGGAAAGTAAAAAAATAAATAAGCATGTGTAAAATAAATTAAATATATTTATATATATATATATATATATAATACACAAGATATTACACAACCCCCTCTTTTTTTATATATATAATATATATAACGTCATACGTTGTGTATTTTAATACTAATATTAGTATATATTAGTATTAAAATACACTTAGAATGACGTTACATATATATAATATGTATATAATATATATATAATAGATATATACACATATATTGTATATATACGTATAATTACATTAATAAATAAATAAAATAATAAAATAAATAAATAAAATATTGAAACAAAATTTTATTAAAATTATATATTCATATGTAATTTCATTCTAACTGTATTTTGTTATTAATATATATATATATATATATATATATATATATATATATATATATATGGAACAAAATACACTTAGAATGACATTCTATATATATCTATCTATATATAAAATACAAATAACCGCAAATATATATATATATATATATATATATATATATATATATATATATATATACATATAATTACATAAAAGATTACATTAGTATACACGTAAAATTTAAATACCTATAAATGTATATATATTAAAATTCTATGTGTAAATTTAAGTAATTTTTTAACATAATTATGTGATTTGATTAATTAAAATTTGATTGACATGCCTGACAACATAGGGAGAAAGTACAGAGAATTTAATTCGCAAGCACTATATTTGACCCTGTAACTCTCCAAGACACCATAAGACCTGTACATTGGGGGTACTGTTTTACTCGGGAGACTTCGCTGAACTCAAATATTAGTGTTTCAAACTGGTAAATTGTATTGCATTTTTTTACAAACAAACTGCACTTTTATGGACTATATTATTGTTGTAATATGTTTTACTGTTTTAAAACACTAATATTTGTGTTTAGTGAAGTCTCCCAAGAATAACAATACCCCCCATGTACAGGTTTTATTGTGTTTTGGAAAGTTAGAGAGTCACATATAAGGCTTGCATTTCATTGTTTTGACATTGAAATTTGCCAGATTGGTTATGTTGCCTTTGAGACCGTATGGTAGCCCAGGAATAAGAATTACCCCAATGATGGCATACCATTTGCAAAAGTAGACAACCCAAGGTATTGAAAGTGGGGTATGTCCAGTCATTTTTAGTAGCCACTTAGTCACAAACACTGGCCAAAGTTAGCGTTCATATTTGTTTTTGTGTGAAAAAAGCACATGATTAAAACAATAATTAAAAAATACCCCACAATGCAAGATACCTCTGCCCAGTACCTGTAGAGTCAGGTAATCAGCTAGGATCTGGATAGGGTGATAGGAGTCTGATAATCCATTCACTATTGGGATTGTTGCTTCTTTGGCCAGTAAATCCAAATCAGATTGTTTGTAAACGCGTGCTAAAACTGCATCAGTCATCCCAGATAGCACCCTGGTAAGAAAAAAGCAATATATGAAGATAAATTAATTCCCTCAAATTACAAGCTAGTCAAGTCAACCCCATGCTATACATCTTCCCCAATATAACTCTCACTATAAGCCCTCTCTCTTTTTTCTAACTCAAACAGTTCTCAAAAGGGTTTTTATGAAAAGTAGATAGACAAATATTAGTATTATTAATGTTATTTATTAATTAGAATCCTACATAACAGAAGACACACTTTTTACTAGACTTTTAGCATTCTGTGTTGTAAAGCAAAGAATTAGCAAATGTAATTGAACAACAAACAAGCACTGATTTTAAATTAAAATTGCCAACAATTTATCCAACCTTGCTGTATCTTTCAAACTCTCATTGACGCCTAAATGAATATCTTGAGTTGTAAGAAAACAAGGGTGTCCTCCAAGTAAAGCAAATCCTAGAATTAAAAAAACAACAAAATTTACTACAATCATACATAAACAAATATCTAAAATTATATTATAAGAACATGTAACTATGTAATATGTAAAGGTGCATTTTAATTTACAAGTCAACATTTTATTTATTGGCTCAATTTCAGCAATTTTACACTAAAAATATATTTACATATACATACAAAGTATGTTTGAATATATAAAATTACATTTTCCTTATGGATTCATACTATGTTTTTCCCTCTGAATATAGTTAGAATTGCCTAGGTCTGGAGGAATAGGAATTTTCCGTATTCCTATATTTTCTCTTAAATTTTTTTTATGACATATCAGGGGCTATCTTTATTAGGATCAGTAGCATAGTACTTTATATCCCCTCTCTCTTGCTATCCTTTACAAGAAGCATCCAGTTTTTAGGTTGAGAGCATCCCACAATAACCTGAATTATGTTTTCTGTTGCAAAGTACAACCATGTGTATCAAATTTTCTGTTGATACCTGATAGGGTTAATTGTAGCCTATCGCGCCTCTATGGCTTTTGTGTAGAGCTTGGGAAGTGTAATATTAGAAAGAAAGTTGTTTATCTTTGGGAGTTGAGTGTCATCTGAGGTATTGTGGGTCGGGAAGTGGTTATTTAGGGTCTTATAGAAGGCCGTGAAGACTTGGGCTACATCGTCTGGGGACGTACGTAATGTTGGATGATTGGACATAATGTGAGGATGTCTGGGTCTCGGCCTCAAGGTGTGGGCAAGCATTGTGTCCATTTTGTTGGATTTCTGATAGTAGGTCCTTTTGGACCACAATAGAGAGCGGGCCGCATCATCTATAAGAGTTCGTGGATGGAGTGTCACATTGCCTGGAGCTGTGTTAAATTTTGGGGGGTCGGAGTGGTTTTGTGCCTTTGTTCTGTTTCCCGTAATGAGTCGAGGAGATTAGTGAGCTTTAGGATTTTCTTCTTTATTTTGTGGGTTGCTATCTTAATAAGGGTGCTCCTTATCACCACTTTATGTGTGGCCCAGACAGTGGCTATGGGGATATCAAGTGCCAGGTTCTCTTGGAAATATGTGGAGAGTTGGTGACGAATGGTTTCTCCCACAGTTGGGTCTTTGAGTAGTGAGGTGTTTCATTTCCATGTCCACGGGGAGGACGTGTGTAATCCACTAAGGTATATGGCGACGTCTGCATGATCGGACCATGCAATCAAGCCTGTTTCGCTTTCTGTGACCTTCGAAAATGGAAACCTGGGTAGATTTTGGGAGTTGTCTTCTGAATGAATGCAATGTCTGGGTTCAGGCGTTTGAGTTTCCTCATGAGGCTGCGACGTTTACGAGGGGCATTTAGGCCTCTGGTATTAAGAGATGAGATCTTCAGAGCCATGGTTGGGGACTACAGAGTATTATTGTCACATTACCTTTTGTTGTCCAGGCTGTGACACAGCCTGGGGGAGTCCAGGAAGGGGTGAGGGACCCTTCCCACAGTCCCTCTTATGTCTCCAACGGTTCAGATGCCAGCCGCTATAGCTCTGTTCATTTTTATGATGCGGCACATGCGCGCCGACGTCACAGTCTGCCAAAACTTTGAATTTTACTATTTGGGGGGCAAGGCTATAATTTAAAGACAAAGGGTATAAAAGGAGCACTCAGGGAATGCATCATTGCCCCGTTGTGGTTTCTGTTTTCAGTTTCCAAGAGTGCGTTATATCCTATGTCTATTCTGGTATTTTGATCTTGGCTTTCTCCTGATTATTCTACATTCTATCTTCCCTAACATGGCTATTGTTTTTTTCGCTTCCCTGACTCGGGTTGTCCCTGACCATTCTTGTTCTAACAGCTATAACCCGGCCATTCTAAGGACTGGTAAACGTTGTCTAATCTATTATCATATCTCTTTACTCTGCGTATTGGGTCACACGTTATCGTGACATTACAACAGGGCCTCATGGACCCTGCAGGTAATAGCCCTCAAGGGGTTACTTATGATAATAGATTTGAGGAGATAGACCATCGCATGGATCAGATTGAGCCTACCTTGCAAACATTGATGACACGTCCATCAACTTTGCCAATGGAAAGGCAAAATCCTCACTCCTTTGTACACTGGGTTGGAAATAACCCCATATGGCGCTACTATGCATGTGACTTCACTGCTACATCATGGTGTAGCACAGGAAGTTTGCTTGGTTTTCTAAACCAAGTAAGCATTCTTTTTAAACTACAACCCAGAGCATATCCTACAGATAGATCTAAAATAGGGTTTATCATCACCCTACTTATAGACAAGGCATTCACTTGGGCTAATCCTTTGAGGGAAAACAATAACCCTATCGTTTATAACTATTCTGCCTTTCTCGAAGCCTTTAGAAGAACATTCGATGCAGCAAGAAGCCTTCTGCGACTTATATAAGGCAGTTGTTACTTGGTTGATTACGCGCTAGAATTTAGATCTCTAGCGGCAGAGGGTGGGTGGAATAACCAGGCTTATGTAGATGTGTTCCTCAATGGATTGTCTGATAGCCTTCTGGACGAGGTTGCTACCAGGGAATTACCTACGAATCTAGAGGACCCTAAACCTACATGTCTCGTATAGACGAAAGGTTAAAGGACCACTATAGTGCCAGGAAAACATACTAGTTTTCCTGGCACTATAGTGCCCTGAGGGTGCCCTCACCCTCAGGGTCCCCCTCCCGCCGGGCTGGATGGAGAGGAAGGGGTTAAACTTACCTCTTTCTCCAGCGCCGGGCGGGGAGCTCTCTGCCTCCTCTTCGGCTGAATGCACATGCGCGGCAAGAGCTGCGCGCGCATTCAGCCAGTCCATAGGAAAGCATTCAAAATGCTCTCCTATGGACGCTGGCGTCTTCTCACAGGCCTTGCATCGATTAATGAGGTCTAAATAGGATTACTGTCAAAAACGCATATCCTATACCCTTGATAACCAAGCTTTTCGATAGACTCAAAGGTGCCACTATTTTCACTAAATTGGATCTTAGAGGGGCTTTTAGTCAGGATACGCAAGGGAGATGAATGGAAGACAGCATTTAATACCCGTTACGGTCATTATGAATATGCCGTTATGCGTTTCTGTTTATGCATGAGTGTGCTATTGTCTACCTTGATGACATTTTGATTTATTCGAAAGACAAAAACACTCATCACGCTCCTGTTAAGAAAGTACTAACCAGACTATTAAAGCATGGACTGTACTGTTAATTGGAAAAATGCCTTTTTAATCAAAAGCAAATTGCTTTTTTAGGATACATAATTTCTGAGAGAGGATTTGCCATGGATTCTACTAAACTAGAATCGATACTACAATGGCCTCTACCTAATGGATTAAGGGCCATAGAAAGATTGATAGGATTTTATAATTATTACAGGAGGTTCATTTACGGCTTTTTGTCCATAATCGCACCAATTACTAACATGACTAAAAAAGAAGCCAATCCCAAATTCTGGTCTCAAGAGGCATTAAATCCCTTTGAAATTTTGAAGACGTAATTTTCATCTGCACCAATATTGGTACATCCTGATCCCACTTTCTTATTTGTTAGAGGTTGATGCATCTGAAACAGGGGTGGGAGCAGTTCTGTCCCAAAGAAAGAGCCCCGAAGAACCCTTACATCCTTGTAGGTTCTATTCTAAGAAACTAACGGATACAGAGAGGAGAATATGACATTGGGGACAGGGAATTATTGGCTATCATCTATGCTATCATCTATGCCTTGAAAGAATTGTGTCATCTGTTAGAGGTAACTCCCATTCCTATCACTATATTAACAGACCACAAGAACCTGTCATATAATTTCCGTGACTCTGCTCCACCGAAGTTACTTCCTCGTTCGGAAGTAAGCTCCTCCCATTCTGAGTACACTTCACTCACCTTCTTTATGAGAAAGCCGGGCCAAACTCACATCACTGAGTTATTTTGAACCAACCTCTGACCCCACAAGGAGCTCCCTTATTTTGCTGCTACTTCAGTATCGATTACCTACAATGACTCCTGTATCTAAAGAGACTTCAAACATTCTATTTGTTACTGATCCCTACAATCTCTGCTACTATTACAGGACGCTCGGGAGAAACCTTAAGTATACTTTGTCTAAATAATGCTACAACCTGCAAATAAAGACTACTAAATTCTATGTTCTACTTATCAAGTTAATTTACTACTACAACCTGCATATAAGGATAATCAATTTCTATGTGTCAGTTATCAAGTTTAATTATTGCTGCATCCTGCATATAAGGATAATCACTTTCTATGTTTCACATATCAAGTTTAATTATTGCTGCAACCTGCACATACGGATAATCAATTTCTATGTGTAACTTATCAAGTTTAATTATTGCTGCAACCTGCATAGAAGGATAATCAAATTCTATGTGCCACTTATCAAGTTTACTTATTACACCAATTGCATTTACAGATAATCGATGTCCTGTGCAATTTATTTTCTTTAAATATGAATGGATTCTAAAAACCTATTTGTATAAATGAGGACATTATTATTATTTTTTCCTTTTAATGCAAACAAGAGAATTACATAAAGTACTATTTTTTCCTTTTTGCCAAAACTAGAAGTGTGAGATAAATTGTCTTTAACTTGATTCAATAAGAGATAATAAAACCTCTCAAAATATACTGAATATTCTGAAGAAGCCTTATTAGGCGAAACGCGTTAAGTGGGACTCTCCTTCATACCTTTTATGGTTTTTTTTACTTTGTTTGTTTATACTAAAGTATACTTTTACCAGTTACTTTTTCTACTCATTCTTTTGCTGCTTCCTGGATCCTGCATATCCCTGGTGGGGATTATACCACCCAAGCTGTCCACACTAGAGCAGGTTTAATGCTCTACAAATTGTAAGTACAATACTACTCATTATTTATTGCACCATAAGTACTTACTTCACTATTGGCTGTTATTTCTCTTTACATATACTACGCATACTGCACTTTGGAAATATCTGTGTCAACCATAACAACATATCCTGAGACGGGGATTGTACCGTCCATGCGCATCACAGTTGAGCTCTGTTATAGCTCATATAAATGTGAGTGGATCCTGTATAGTTATACTCACCACTTCACAATATAAATTTACTGTATTGAACTATTATTTTTTTATCTGATCTCATTCCGAGGTTTAATCCATTGGAAGTACTTGGGAGTATATGTACGTATATCTTGTATATATAAATTACTAGGCGCGGTATACGCCTCTTTTTGTTTTTTCAAAATATATATTGGAAGTTCTCTTTGTTTTTCTTAAAGGTATAGTACTACTAATTAATTCTGCAGTTGTGTTCCACAATTCTCAGTCTAAATATTATTGAATCATTACACTATCTTAATTTAGAGAATCTAAGAGGTTATCAGCTAGACAGGCACATTGGTCTCTCTTTTTAGCGATATTTAATTACATGTTACCATACAGACCTGGGTCAAAGAATACTAAAGCAGATGCCTTGTTTCGTCAATTTGAACCACACGCCTGTCTTGATACTGAAATAACAACCATCATACCTAAAGAAAGAATAGTGGCTAATACTCATGTTAAGATACATTCCGAGCTCATTGATAATATAGAAGCAAAACAGAATCAGGCACCACAACGTAAACCTACTGGTAAATACGTACCTCCTGAGTATCAAAGAGATACTTACCTCTTATCATGATGGGAAAATAGCAGGTCATCCGGGTATAAATAAAACTCACTCGCTGATAGCTTCAGAATCTTGGTGGCCTTCCTTACGAAAAGGCACTAAGAATAAGTTTTGGCATGTGACGTGTGTGCCAAAACCAAATTATTTCATAGTCTCCCTTGCGGGCTATTACAACCATTAGAGATACCACAAAAACCATGGGATAGCATAGCTATTGATTTTATTGTCGATTTGCCTGTATCTAAAAGTCATACTGTCATCTTAACTATTGTTGATAAATTTTCCAAAATGGCTCATTTCGTTCCGTTGATAAAAATTGCCATCTTCACCAGAACTGGCCACAATATTTGCCAAAGATGTATTCCGATTGCATGGCATACCCAAAGAAATTGAGTCAGACAGGGGTACACAGATTATATCTCGTTTCTGGAGGGCTTTCTGTGCACAGTTGAGGATCACTCTTTGCTTTTCATTGGCTTATCATCTTCAGTCTAACGGGGCAGCTAAAAGGACCAATCAAAAGTTGGAACAATATTTTAGGTGTTTTATATCCGATCATCAAGACAATTGGGTTGACCTTGTTCCCTGGGCTGAATTTGCACATAATAATGTGGTTTGTGAGGCTACGCGCTACAGCCGTTCTTTATCAACTTTGGTTTCAATCCACACGTTCTTCCATCCACATTTCCTTCGCAGGAAATGCCGCTGGTGGAGGAGCATGTGGCGAACCTAAAGAGAATGTGGGAACATGCCCATCGTACTCTGTCACACACCTCTACTTTATACAAAAAACATGCTGATCATCATAGACATGCTGCTCCTGTATACCAACTGGGTGATAAGGTCTGATTAAGCACCAGGAATATTCGCTTGAAGGTGCCATCTCTGAAACCTGCCCCCCAGGTATATTAGCCCTTACAAGGTCATTCAACGTATTAATCCTGTGGCTTATAAATTGGCTCTCCCTCCTGCTTTATTCATTCCTAATTCTTTTCATGTTTCTTTAATTAAGCCTCTCACGTGCAATTGTTACACTAGACCCTTTGTTGTTCCCTCTCCTGTACAGGTTGAAGGTCAGGGAGAATATGAAGTGAAGGTCATTCTTGATTCACGTATTTCTAGGGGTCATCTTCAGTATCTGGTTGACTGGAAGGGTATGGTCCCGAAGATTGGTCTTGGTTAAGTTCTTCTGACATCCATGCTCCTCGTCTCCTCAGATCATTTCATGCCCGCTTTCCTTCTCGCCCTGGCCCTTCCCGCCTGGTATGATATAAACATTCGAGTATAGTTTAAGTATAAAGGAAAGAGAAACTAGGCTGTCAAATTGTTCTTTTCTGTTTTTTGGTGGTTGTGTATTTTTTTTATTTTTATAAAATAACATTATTTAGTTTTTTAGTTATATATATATTTTTTTTCCTACTTTTTTCCTCGTTGTCATATAGGTTGTCTAAGGCTATAATGAAGTCACTGTTCCCTTAGTTACCTAGGTAACATATATCTTAGGGCCAAAGTGAAGCGTGGTGAGGTTCTGAGTTTAGCCCAAGGGAGAGGGAGCTGAAATGCTGGATGAGAGCCTAAAGGTGAGGGGAGAGAGGGTTGTGACCCTTGGGGCTATCACCTATGAGGAGACCCTCCCTACTCCGGGGGTCTTCAATAAAACACTAGCTGTATTCAAAAGATATCATATAAATAATAAACCAGGATAGCCTGCCTATGGCAACATGAAATGGTGTCTATCAAGTGTCCAGGTTTAGAAAAATAATATATGCCACTCACAGTCCAGTTGAGGTCGTTGGTGGTTCCGGGTTGCAGGTCAGGTTGGACCAGGTATCAGCGTGTTTTGGGGAGTAGTGGGGTAGGACATCGAGGGTCTCCCCAGACATGGGCTCCGCCGGGGAGGAGGAGGTGGGGGAAGGACTGTCTCATGCCAGTTGAAGTATGGGTGACTGGTTCTGTGCCGGATCCAGGCAGAGAGGGAGAGAAAGGAAAAAGGCCCATGTCCAGTGACAAAAAATAGCGGGGTCCCCCCGTGTTCCTCCAGGACGGGTGCGGTCGCCTATGTGAGAGGTGAGTGTGGGTCATCTACGTGGTTGGATCAGTCGGCTACAGTATACAAATCGCATGGCAGGGTCGGTAATGCTGCAGTTGTCTTGCTTGGCAAGGTGAGTGTCGCCGGAGCCCTGATGCCCAGGTTCTGGAGGAAGCGGGATGGGTCTGCACCTGGTAGGAGAATGTACAAGGCCGCAAACAGGTCCAGGACCGTTGTGCCCACATCAGAGGATTTTTTGGGCAGTGTACGAGGATTGCGTTTGTCCATGTTACCTCAGGGTCAGGTAACTCTGTGTATGGTCGCTGATTGATGTGCTTAAATAAACTTTTTATTAGGAGGTCGGTGCGAAGTTCTAGGCTAGCACGCAATGTATTTTTTACACATTGATACATAACAGTATCACACTATGTATTTTGATTCTCTCCTTTCTTTTTCGATTGAGTAACATTTGAGTGGGCCTATAATTTTTCAAATATCTTACTGTATGTGTCAGTTTCTGTGTGTATTTGGTGCAGTCAGAAACTTTTCAAGTGCGTATTCAAAGTCAGTGTACTTTAATTATATATTGAAAAACACTCTAATTTAAATATTGTTATGTTGAGAATATTTTGTATTGTGGTTATCACAAACACTGATTATGGAATATAAAAGCACAGCGCACCTTATACGTATAGTATGAGGCTTTGTACCTTTACTTTTACATACACATTTGCATATGTTTGGGGAAACGATAATGTTTTCCATTTTTCATGTTACTATTTTTTTTGTGATCTCTGTAATAATGTTAATTGACGCTGCCATTTGAGAAATTGCATTATAAAAATAAAAAGTACACCTGCCTCTGTATTAATACAGGAGTTTTCATAAGATTTCCCTTAAATAAGATTTTCCCATAAATCAGAGTTAGATTACATTTCGAGAGTCAATAACACATTACTAGAGTAAAGAAAATCAATAATGAAAAGCAAAGAAATTATTGAGAATATTCTCATCAAGCAGTAGGTATGGCTTTAAATATGTCCACATATATTATGAGTAACATACTAAAGAAAATGCCTTATTGAAAATGTTGGATGGTTTGTTTTCTAATTGAAATGCATAGAATATTTCAACAATAGAAGAACTCCACGCTATAGCGAACAACACACACCAAACCTACCTCAATATATGGACGCACTGGCTACTGAAGTCAACAAAACCAGGCTTCCTGGGCGAACCCTAGGCCCAACGACAGAGACAGGACATAAACCCCAACATGCTGCAGATCCATGACGCTGACAGAACCCAGACCCCGTCTTCCGACGCTTCCCCACAACGACCTACCCATCCCAATCACCTCAACACACGAACCACGATACCCACGAAATGGCAAGGACCACCTGGAACCACACGGATAAGGGTGACCCGGAGGTCACACATAGAGGACATCCTCCACATAGGCAGGTATCCAACGACCGCAGTAGAGTAGGGGAGACGACAGACAATCACCACGGACCACGTGGGGATGGGGAGGTGTTTTGTTGCTAACCAGCTGTCCATGCTAGGAGGCTGACAAAATGTGTTCATCATAAGTTGTTTGTTCTTGAACTGTTTGTTTCATACAACGTATAAAACTCCATAACGGATGGGACCTGCGAGTCCACACTGTTTGAGGGGCCTGCGAGCCCGCACTGTTATATATCTTTACAACGCAGCTGACTTACTCTTTACACTTACCAAGCGACGGACCTGCGCGTCCAAACGAAGTATAACTGCCTCGAAAAGAAAATGAAAATAAAAATTATATTTACAAAAAAAAAAGAAGAATATTTCAACAAAATTCTTATATTAGCACTTACAGTGCCAACATATTCCGCAGAGCTTTACAATGATAAAATGGGGATATTTGTAATTTTCATAACAGATACAAGATGTGAAAGAGGCCTTGCTCAGAGCTTGCAATCTATGAATAAAATAAACATACTTAAAAACCCCTAAAGCACTTTAGCTTGCTGAAGTAGTTTATGCGCGACAAATATGTCCTTTTTAATTTCCGAAAAGTGCAGACTTCAATCGAAATTGGTACTTTTATAAATGAATCTTGTTACATCGCCGGCTGACAATCAGACAATCTGACCTGTTACTTCCTGGTTTGGTTAGCTCAGTGGAACTAAATTCAAGAGGCAACAATTGTTCAGAGCACCTGCCTTGCAAAGGCATGTTATTGAGCTGAAAGTCTGTGATTGGACAGCCACAGAAAGTCTGGGAAGGACTAGAAGGGGAGGGCTTGAAAACGCTTCAGACAAGAGATCTAACACTTTTGTAATTAGTTTTTAGATATACACCAAATGAAAATGCATGCCTGTGTTTATTGGGGGTATATCTACTAAACAGTGATTTGTATTGTATTTGGACAGTGTAGTGTCCATTAAGCACTTCAAGTAGCATTAGATATTACTTCATGTGGAACGTTTGGAAGTCTTCAAAACCTTGTTTTGTTTGATTCTATATTTTATAGTTAAAAAACAATTACAAAAATAAGCTACTAGAAAGGTTGGTGCTTTGATTGAAACTTTGTTTTAAAAGAGAACAGTCATTTTTCTAGAAGTAATACCGTTAAATAAAATTGAAAATCTTTAATAACTTTTGTTAACCTTTAATCATGTGATGCAATGTATTCTTTGACATGTACGATATATTAAAGATTTAGCAAATTACATATCAGTTCAGTTGAGAAACAACCTGTGCACACATGGCAGTGGAGGAGGAGAACAGCATTGCTGTGTCTATTTCACCACCTCCACACATTATGTTCTATGATAGAAAAGGGCAGAGTTTATAACATTGTATAACATTTTATTTACAAAGAGCCATGATGGAGGCACTCAATACAATGGCAGAGGTAAAGACAGCAATATTTAAATAAACACCATTTTAAAGATCATGGTAAGTGACAATCCTCTTTTAAATACTGATGCTGCCACCTATATGACAATTTAAAACAAATTTGTCATCCCTCCCTCCCCCCACAGGTATGTCACACACACCCCTCCCCACACTGTGTTGATTCTCTTGCAATAATGAGAGTTAACACAGGTCCTTTGGAAGCCTTCGAAGGTCCTTCACTGCTATCTTAGAAACACAAAGATGGAGGAACCGTGAAAGAAGGCCTGGCAAAACCAGCACAACGTTGGAAAAGATAAGTTGCACAGGTCTTGAGGTCTGAAATGGTTGTAGGGGTCAGAGGAGCTATAGTTAAGCATCCCAAGGTAAGGGCTAGTCACCAAATAAATGACAGAGCTACTTAGTGAATTGATTTAAATTGATTAAAATTGTGATGGCAGAGAAAAGTAAGTTGACCCATCTAGATTATCATGAATCTCTCTAGAATAGATAGAATAGGTTTTATTCATAACCATGTTTTCACACAATTCTTTGTTTATTGCTCTGTGCAGTAGTGTACCAGCCAAAAGTTTTCATGAATGCTTCCACTGCAATAATCTCTAAAGTCTCTACTAGAAAGCTATTCCATGCATTTACAACTGTTTAACCTGTTCTATGGCTATGCCTATTTTTTGTTTATCACCGTGATAAATATTTCAACTATTATTTAACAGGTAACATAAGTGAACTAACTTTTACACCAGTAAAATAAGCGTTAATTAGTTGATAATTAACCGGAACTAACTGGCCGTGGCTCTGATCTTGGTGCTTCCATATTCTTTCCCGATTTGCTTACATGCCTACAAGAAGCTTAGCGACATTGTTGTACATGAGTGAGCATACATAATAAGCATCTTTAATACATTCCATGAGATGACGCACATCACTTGGAACTTTCTGATATATTTTACTTATATTGTCAAGTTTATGAAGCAGATGGGTTTTCAATAATTAACAATGGAAAGGAAAAAAAATCCCTATTCACCAGTTTCGGTGGAGAGTCTTGTTCTGGTGCTTCTTTTTTCAAATATCATGGCAAGTGATTTTCCTTGGAGCAATGGCATGTACTGAAATTAAGAACATATTGGTATACTGGTATAAATATTCATATCCTTTATATTGAAATGTTTTTTTGTTTGTATTTATATTTCAGTTCTCACCTCTCCTTTTTGTTTTATTCTGCATTTTAGATCGGCCGACACCCACAGGAGATATTTTATTTCTTCAGAAGTGTAATTTTTCAACGTTAGAAGGTCACGTCCTTTTAGTTGTGCATGATTATTTGACAAACTGTAAAAGAAAATCACAAATAATAAGCTTCCATTCAGCAAATGTAAATTAAAAAAATCCCTAAAATTTTGTATTTTACTTCAAATGCTGGTGGTAGTCATTAAAACTGAAGATCTTTAATAAAATGATACTTAAACCGAGAGATACATCTAAAGAGCTGCAAGTCATATCACAAGGACAGGAACATATAAAAAAACCTAATCTCGGGAAAGGGCACTGAAATGGGGTGTAGTGTGGGGTGATAGGGATGTATGGCTAAATATGGGACTGCGGAGTATTGGATAGGGGCTGTATCAGTGCATATGAGCCTGTAGTGGGGGAATAGATGGATGTAGTGGAGTGATAGGGGCTTTAGTTAGGGGGATACGGGCTGCAATAGGGTATACGAGCTTTAGATGGGTAATAGGGGCTGTAGTGGGTGTCTAGATGAGATTGTGTAGGGAATAGGGGAGGATAGTGACTGTAGTGGGGCGTTAGGGGCTGTAATGGAAGTAAGTACAAAAAACAAATCAGAATATTTTTAATTTAAGAAAAAACTAAATGTTATAAACTAAAGTCTATTCTACCCCTCCCTGAGGCTTATCTTAGTTTGGAGATGGGGGGTGGATCGTGATCCCTGGTGGTCCAGTGGAAGGTGTAGACATCTCGCCATGGAAACCCGTGGCAATGCTCTGATACTGTAGAATAAGCAGATACATTGTTTCTGTATCAGCAGGAAGTTTGTCCTAAGTTCTCCCACGTACCACCGGTATCAATATGGCTTGGCCAGTGAGAGAGATGTTTGAAGCCTGAAGGTCCCTCCTGAAGGTCTCGATTTTGTTTCATGGTGGGCATTTGCCTTGAGGTGCTTCTAAATTAAATGCCAAGAATATTCCAACCCTTAATTTCTAAAGGAGAAACTGGCTTCACAGCGGGAGTATATAAAAAAAAAAGTGTTATTCTTTATTAAAGCCACATATTGCACTGGGCACAAATAAAATCTATAAACATTACATAATATACTCTAGCCGTGACACATAAACAAAAAAAAAAAACAGAAATACAATGGATGTTATACAACATTATTTTCATATAGAAATTGTGCTATATATTTTTTTATAGACTATTGAAGTTTTTCTTTCTTTCTGGTGCATTGTTAATTGAAATACTGCAGCAAAGCTCTTGTTCACACCTTGTCCATGTTTGCAGTAATGTAATTAATTATCAGATTGTAGCATATAAACAAGCATGGGCTTGTCTTATGTCAATAGAAAACATACAGGCATATTAAAACCAGTGTTTGCAACTACAGTAACTAACCAATATATTGTCTCATATTCTGTGTGATCATTTTTTATTTTTCTCTTGAGCCACAAGTAGGTTGGTTAGTTGTTTTTCTGCCACCTGTATTTGCAATGCCAGAAATCGATTCTGAGATAAGATATGAGGATGTAGCAGGGGAGGGCTGGCAGCCTTAGGCCTGGGGGGCAAAACCAGTCAAGAGGCCCATTGCACCACCAAATCAGTGCAATGGTGCCCACCTTTTCCTGGATTTATAACGGATATTGATGTTATGCTAATCAGTAGCTCTTTGCCATACCCTCTCCTTCACGGCTCTGACTTTCAATGTTGTCAGAGCGCAGGCTGAGAATCTCTGAGCCTGTGCTCTGACTCACTAACTGAGCGTCGGAACCATGAGGGAGAGGCTATAATCTGACTGCACCTACTGCTGGTGCGCACCAGTGGACCACCAGCGAATCGTTTAAATTGAATAGGCTGGTGTCCCCAACTTGTGAGCTGTGTTGTCCGCCGGGCGCCTCTGTTGTGATGGCACCCTGCGTGACCGCACAGCGTGCACACCCCAATGGCTGGCCCTGCTGACACACACTGATGTTACTACTTAGAAATCCCTCAATATTAATACAGACAGCAGAGTAAACACCAATAAACTGTGGAAACAGATCTGATCCCACCCAAATTTATAAAGATTTGCTTACTGGATTTGTTGTAAGATTAAATCATGCCTCCTCCCCTCTCTCTCCCATGCGCTGCTCTGTAAGCTGGGAGGAAGTGAAGAGTAATCACAATCTCTCAGCACAGTGGCACCTGTGGCTGCATGGGGAACAGCTGTATTTGCCGCCCCCCATGTGACATCACAATGCCCCACCTATATGAGCTGCCATACGAACTAACGCCAGTGCTGCTCACAGTGTGTGTTTACATTAAAAAGCCTGCAGGGACCGGCTATAGATACCAGAACCACTTCATTAAGCTCCAGTCGTTCTGGGGACTATAGTGTCCCTTTAATGTAATGAAAATTATAGATTAGTGTCACTAATAATATACTAGATTGCCTACTTACAACCAAATGAGGATGATGATGGGCTGCAGTTTGGCTCCACTGGTCTGGTGTAGAACAGGATCTCTGGAGGCTGTTTGCAACTGTGGTCACAAAATTCAATGTTCTGGGAGAATTGGAAGCAGCTCCATTTTTGGGAGGGCCCCTTATACAGCTCAAGGTCTGGGCCCCAGGGCCTGGCGGTGAGTATGCCCACAAGGCCCACTCATAAGTCCACTTATATGTTCCACCCACCCATGAGTTCGCTCACAGGGAGTGGAGTGTGTAGGGGATGTGTTATGTGTTATTGTAGAGCAGGGGTTCTCAACGTTAGTCCTCAGGACCCCCTACCAGTCCAGGGTTTAGGGATTACCTGGGTGTGTCTAAGGTGTTTTTTTCCCTTTTTCTAAACACCTGAGACACACCCAGGTAATCCCCAAATCCTGGACTGGTAGCGGGTCCTGAGGACTGGGTTGAGAACCCCTGTTGTAGAGGATCTAATATGTGTGCTTATGGTATGTAGTGTATAGGGATACCAGTTTGTGCAGGTGATGCAGTGTGTTTGTGTGTAGTGGAAGCAGTGTGTATTTGTGTATAAGGGATGTATTGTGTGTTTCTGGTTGTGTGTAAGGGATGCATTGTGTGAATCTGTGTTTTGTATGCATAAGGGATACAAGGTGTGTGTTTGTAAGTGTGTGCATTGAGTGTGTGTTAGTGATGCATTGTGTTTCTGTGTGTATGTAAGAAAAGCAGTGTGTGTGTAAGTATTTGCATTATGTGTTTCTGTGTATGTGTGCAAAGGATGCATTGTCTTTGTGTGTAAGTGTTGCATTGTTTGTGTGTAATGGATGCATTGTGCGTTTCTCTGTGTGTAAGGGAAGCATGTTGTGTTTCTGTGTGTGTAGGGATGCATTGTGTGTGTGTATGTGCGTAGTGTCCTCTCCCCCCTGTGTCCTCCTCACCTCCCTCTCCCTGTGTTCTCCTCACCACCCACCCTCCCTGTGTTCTCCTCACCACCCACCCTCCCTGTGTTCTCCTCACCACCCACCCTCCCTGTGTTCTTCTCAGTCCCCCCTTCTCCTCATCTCCCCTTCTCCTCACTCTTACTCTCCCCCTCCCCCTTGTGTTCTTCTTACTCCACCCTTGTTCTTCTTACCCCCCGTTTTTCATACCCCCCTTCTTCTTCTTACTCCCCCTCCTCCACCTTCTGTTACTCCCCCCTCCTTACTCCCTCCCTTCACTTACTCCCCCCATCTTCACTTACTCCCCCCTCTTTCACTTTCTCCCCCATCTTCCTTACTCCCCCCCTCCTTCATTTACACCCCATCTTCACCCTCCCCATCACTTACACCCCCATCTTCACTTACTCCCCATCTTCACTTACACCCCCACATCATTACACCCCCATTCACACAGCCCTCCTTCATTAACTCCCATCTTCACCCTCCCCATCTTCACTTACACACCCCCATCCTTCATTTACACCCCCATCCTTCATTTACACAGCCCACTCCTTCGTGCCCCCCCCATCTTCACTTACTCCCCCATCTTCGCCTCCCCATCTTCACTTACTCCCCCACCATCACTGCTCTTCCCCTTCACTTACTCCCCCTCTTCACTTACTCCCCCTCCTTCATTTATGCCCCCTATCTTCATTTACTCCCCCTTCATGTACATCCCCATCTTTGCCTCCCCCTCCACTTCACTCCCTCCTTCGCCCTTCCTCCCCCCCTCCCCCTTCACTTGCTATCCCCCCTCCCCCTCCCTTGCTTCTCCCCCCCCTCCCCTTCGCTTGCTTTGCTCCTCCCTCCTCCGCCTTCTCCCCTCCCCCCCCCTCCACTTGCTTCCCCCTCCCCTTCGCCTGGCCCCTGCTCCTCCCCCTCCCCTCCTTCTCCCCTCCCCTCCACTTGCTTCTCCCCCCCTCCACTTGCTTCTCCCCCCTCCCCCCCTCCCTTGCTTCTCCCCCCTCCACTTACTTTTCCCCCCCCTTCACTTACTTCTCCCACCTCTCCCTTGCCCTCCCCTGTAGCGTGGCCGAGCTGCTTGCTGGTCCGCGGTGCCGGCCGGACTGATAGGAAGGTGCACACTGAGTGTGCACTTCCTGTCAGTCCGGCCAGTTACAGGAAACAGAAACTCCACGCGGAACTGGAGTTTCTGTTTCCTGTAACCGGCCGGACTGACAGGAAGTGCACACTCAGCGTGCGCCTTCCTATCAGTCCGGCCGGGCACCGCGGACCAGCTCGGCCACGCTACAGGGGAGGGGAGGAGAGGCGCAGCCGCAGCCGCCTGAGGCTCTTAACAGAGTGCTCAGGCGGCTGCAGCATTTAAAGGGCCGGCCCTTCAGTGGCCGGTCCCAACAGATTTTAGGGCGGCCTGGGGGGCAATTGCCTCCCTGCCCCCCAGCCCAGCCCGCCCCTGGGATGTAGGTTTCCTTAAAATACACAGTGCCTTCACCATGCAAACTGCCTGATTTCAGTAAACCAATCGGAGGAATCACAGTGAAACGATGAACCTCAATATGCAGTTCGAAAAAATACAAAAATACACTAACACAAAAAAATAAAAAAATTAGCTTACTGGACTTGACTTATTGGACTTTAATATATATATATATATATATATATATATATATATACACACACACATTTTTACAGAGTGCACTTGTCTTGGGTGATTTTTGCATAGATTAGTTATTTACCTGCCCTCCTTACACTGAGGGGGTGCGCAAGAGGGCCAGGTATCGTAAAACATTTTGTTAAAAAAAAAGAAAAATGCAGTTCATACATCGTCATAGACAGTAAGATCCATATGTTAATACTGCTCGTTTGATTGGTTCTCCACTCACTACAAGCAAAAGCAATTGCAAGGTGCCAGGTCAGACCAGACAACAAGACTTGAATGTGGAATTAAAAAATCATAGCTTATTCAATTTTTCCATCTATTCAATGCAAAGGTAACGATCTGTACATGGTAACCAGTGCACAGAGGAGGGGCACTGCAGGAAAGATGCTTATGCGTTTCATGCCGATAAGGCACTTCCAAGTTTCCATAATTTAATACAGGATCTTGGAACCACTGCCCTTTATTTTCAAGCCTTTGCAAGGGGTAAAAAAATAAATCACATTTGCCTAGGTGCCCTGTTTATTTGGTTTAAATGTTTCAAGTAAATGCCTTTTATTGGCGTAGAGTTATAGATTACAGCAATTAAGGTTAGTGTGTTTTTTTTAGACAAAAACATTATGGGTGTATGTTGATGCAAGTACATCCTCAAAGGTTTTGCCGCCCCTTTCGTTCCACCCACTCATGCAGACTTACCTACACTGAACATGATGATGCAAGTACATCCTCAGGGCAGGTGCAAGGATTTTTGCTGCCCTCTTTGAAAAATGTTTTGCTGCCCCATTCGTTCCACCCACTCATGCAGACTTACCTGCATTGACCCATACACACACACACACACACACACACACATGCTTGCCCATACAGACACACACACTTACACACATGCTCAGACTGACCCCCCTCCACACACACTGACCCATGCAGACACACACTGATGCATACACACACACACACTGACCCATGCAGACACATGCTGACCTATACACACAAACAGACCCATACATACCTACTGACTCATAAAGACACACACACACACACACACACACACTGACCCATACACACAGAGAGACCCATAAACACAAACAGATCCATACACACACACACACACACACACAAACACACTGACCCATACATACACACAGACACACGCTAACCCATACACACACACAGAGACCAATACGCGCACACAGACACACACACACTGACCCATGCAGACATACAGAGACCCATACACAGGGCCATCTTTCCTCATGGGCATGCTGGACAGTTGCCCGTGGGCCCCACAGTCATGGGGCCCCCACTGCGCTGCCCAGCGTGCCCAGGCCAACAGGGGAGATCCTTTGATCTCTTCTGCCGGCCCATGGAGAGGCGGCCCTGTTTCTGGCCGTGGTCCCTCTCGGGCCGGTGAGGAGGTCAGAGATCTCCCCCACCGGCCCAAGAGTCCTTCGATCGGGGAGAAAGGGCAGGAGGACCTGGAGGAAGGGAGGAGGGATCTGGGAAGCAGATTGCTCCTCCCGCGAGTAGGATGTGTGGATCGTTGCCGCGAGTTACCATGGCAAAGCCCCACACAGCAGGGGGGATGAATACTTTATTACTGTATAGCAGTATTAAAAAAAAAAAACACTCACATTTGCTACCTGCGCCCCTCAAACTCTACAACACACACGCACTCAGTGTGTGTCTGTATTCAGCATTCGGTGTGTGAATGTGTTCAGCAGTCTGTGATTGTATTCAGCATTTTGTGTGTATGTATTGTATATATGTATTGCATTTGTTGGAGGTACTAATAAATATAAGCTTAATTTTATCTATAATTTAAATTTTTATTCCTGTGAGTTGCGTGTAGGCAGGGTCCCAGTACACTGCTTTGCCCGTGGGCCCATAATGTTGTTAAGATCGCACTGTACATACACACACAAACATACTGACTGAAACATACTGACACACATTCTATGAAACACACTGTGCATTCTCTCTTACCTTCATTGCACTTTGCTCTTTGTTCCTATCACCTTTACTGCGCCCGGCGGCCGACACTTTTTTTCAGCCACATTTCCTGTTATTCTCCCGCCCACTTGTCCCCAGGTACAGGGAAAGGGGCGGTACCGAGTGAATGATGCACCCTTGCGCTGCCGCACTTCTTGGCAGGGAGAGGGGTCCTGACTTTGCAGGCTAAGGTGAATGCCGGACCGACGTTCTACCAGGCGCTAGTCTACAAGTAAGTGCTCATTAGCACCCGGTAAGGCAGCCAGCGGCCGCCACGACCCACTCTATATGATTAATTCAACTTGAGAGGGGGGTGACCAGACATGCAGTAAAGCCACTGCCGGCCCCCTCCCCACTTAAAAAGCGCCCTAAGCGGCCGCTTACTTAGCCTATAGGATGCGCCGGCCCTGTACATCTTCATGCAGACCCATAAGCAAGCTTCAGGTATGTATACCAGTTAATTAGTACATTTGTTCATGATTTTGCTACTATAGTTACAACCTTATACAACCTTATAACCCTTCCAAGTTTGATGGGCAGTAACAATTGCTTCTCTAAGATCATTGCAGATGTTTTTCATCCTTGGCATTGTGTTGACACACACCTGAATACTCCAGTCCAGCAAACTGCTAAAACATCGGCTTTTATAGAGGCGGTTACACTTGCTGCTGATCAATTAATAAAGGGCATTTGATTAGCAGCACCTGTCTGCTACTTAGCATTTTACTTCTATGGAAGTAATAAGGGTGTAGTTGTTTTTTCACACATGGCTTCTCCATTTTGGCTTTTTATTTTTATTTTATTTTAAAAACAAAACCTAGTGTAATATATCATGTGTTATTTATCTGTGGTTGTATTTACCTAATTTTAAGACCTTCTAATGAACAGATGATTGCTGTTATGTCCTGATATGTAAAACCAGAGAATTCAGAGGGTGTACTTTATTTTTCCCATGACTGTATATTATCACAGAGATATTATTATGTTACCTTATTTACTGGGGTCATTTAATTGCAATGTTTTAAATGTATATAATTGTGTCTGGTTTACAGTGGCTAAACTTTTTTTTTTCCTTTTTGCATAAGATAGCAGCTGCGTTGAAAGATCACTGGGGAGATGACCTGTATTCAGTGTCAACATCGCTCAGTTTTCCATGATCATGTGTTCGTTTGCAGAGGTTGCATTGACACTGATAAGCAAGATCACCATGAAGGTGAAACATTGTGTCAGCTGAATCATAGAAAATGCAATTTCACAGCAACTGAATGTGAAGAAATATAAAATGAAATATTATATAATAGTGTACAGAACTGTTTGCTAGTAGAGGCTGGTCCATTGGGGTAAGGGCAGATGAGCTGATGGCTCCTCAGCTTTGTCCGCACAAAAAATAAAAAATAAAATAAAATCTAATTACATAGTAAGGCTTCATTAGAAGTTTGATTTAAAAAAAAAAGTTGCATCCTCCTCCCTTTATTAATGGTCAGGTATGATGCTGAGAGGCAGAGCAGCTAATTTAATGGGCATGGAAAAATGGGCATAGCCAAATAAGGTGGTAAAGTCTAGCAGGCTTAGACAACCTTCGGCAATCCAAATGTTGCGGACTACATCTCAAATATTGCTCTTACAGCTATATTGCTGACAAAGCATCAGGGGAGACATAGTCCACAAAATCTGAAGTACCGAAGGTTACTTATCCTTGCTCTAGAGCTTGGAACTTTATCAATCACCAATGCTGATTGCCTCCTCTTTTCACAATACCCAATGGGTGTTGTAATTGGTATTTTTGGGCACTGAGACAATTTGAGAGGACCTTACAATCAGTTATGTTGTTGCTGCATTATACAGAGTCATACTGTATACTTTTTCTGAGACAAATCGCTAATATTTAAGTACTTGTAAATGCAATCACATTGAGGTTGAACCTGGGCGTTTTATTGGTGATGGTATTTATATAGGCAAATAAGTATTACCCTTTTCACAGCGTTTTGATTTAAAGTTATGGAACTGTTTAAAGCAATTAAAATATTTTAGCTCTGCCAGTTTGTATTTTATTTTACATATTTTAGTAGGTTTGTTCTTAATCCTTTGTGTCATTTGGGGATTTTATTTTATTTTTTGGTACTTTATTGTGCTCTCTTTATTCTGTTTTATTTTTAGACACAATAATAGTCAAACTAAGCCAAATACAATAAACCAGGAGCAAATAATGTTACTTACAAACTTAGTGATCGGTACAGAAGATGCAGCAAGTATTCTGTTTTCAGGTTTCCTGACTCGACTATTCCTTATTGTTATCCAGATCACTGGTTTTCCTAAGACTCTGGCTATTCCTTTGCTATCCATGTTAAACCTGGCTATTCTAAGGTCCGGTAATGACTTTTCTCTTTTTAGGGTTACATTCTGCATGGTGGGGTCACTTTGTCTTGACAGTAGAGATGTATGTTGGGGTGGGGGGATTACAGACACAAAGGGTTGCTTAGGAAAAGAGACACAAAGGGTTAATTGGAAATTAATAAAAGATGCAAAATGTTTAATGGAGGGGTTAAAAGAGAGACACAATTGTTAAGGTAAGAGGCACACAAGAGGTTAACAAGGGGATTTGTAGACACACAAGGGTCTTTGGGATTTAAGAGACCAGCTAACCTAGATATACCTCTGTTTCTATATAATAGAATTATCAATCTGAAAAACCCATCCAGGAGTGTGTATGTAAAATGGTTTGTATTATTCAGGAAAGGTATGGGAGGAAGAAGAGATGGTTGGCCTGTCATTCTAAGTGAGAAGTCAGCCAAGGAGAGAGAAAAAGCACTAAAAGACTAATTGCAGAGAAGTGAAAAGAACTAGTAGTGTGTATGTCATTAGTGTGGCCTAAAGAAGAAAAATACAGACTGCTTGTGTGAAGTGTGAAAATGGACAAATACTTCCATGGAGTAGAACTAAATTACATAGTACATAAATTCTAAAAAACCCAAAAATTAAAGTGTAGGTACACTAAAAACTGAAACGGGGGTGTTAGTTAATGAAGACCAGGAAAAGGCAGGAATTTTAAATAACTATTTCTCCTCTGTATATATTAAGGAAGAACCCATGGCAATAGATGTGCAAATGATTACTACTAAAAACTTGCAGAATAATTGTAATTGGTTAACTCAAGACAAGGTGCTGCAGCAACTAAAGAAAGTTAATATAAACAAAGCTCCAGGGCCTGACGGTATCCATACACGTGTACTTAAGGAACTAAGTGTAGAAATAAGTGAACCTCTGTTTTAATCTTTCAAGATTCTTTTCTTTCAGGAAGTGTTCCGGAGGATTGGAGGAAGGCAGATGTGGTTCCTATATTCAAAAAGGGTTCAAAATCCTTGCCTGGAAATTATAGACCTGTGAGCTTAACTTCTGTGGCTGGTAAAATATTTAAAAGGTTATTAAGGGATAATATTCAAGAATTCCTTGAGAAGAACATGGTTATCAGCAAAACAGCAGGTTTTATGAAGCACAGGTCATGTCAAACTAACTTGATTGCGTTCTACGAAGAAGTAAGTAGAAGTATAGATCAGGGTGTTGCGGTGGATGTGATCTATTTGGATTTTGCCAAGGCATTTGATACAGTTCCACACAATAGATTAGTGTTTAAACTCAAGGAAATCGGTCTAGGTGAAAATGCTTGTTCTTGGGTAGAACATTGGCTTAAAAACAGAGTACAAAGAGTTGTCATTAATGGTGAATTTTCAAGCTGGACAGAGGTGGCAAGTGGTGTCCCTCAGGGGTCTATTCTGGGACCCCTTCTATTTAACATGTTTATAAATGATCTTGAAGACAGCATTGAAAGTCATGTTTCAGTGTTTGCAGATGACACAAAACTTTGTAAAATAATACAATGTGAGCAAGATATTACTTTGCTGCAGAGAGATTTAAATAGACTGGGGGACTGGGCACTCAAATGGCAGATGAAATTTAATGTTGAAAAATGCAAAGTTATGCACTTCGGCGTAAAGAATACACAAGCAACGTATACTCTTAATGGAAGCGAATTAGGGATAACAACACACGAAAAGGACTTGGGAATTGTTATAGACAACAAACTATGCAACAATGTCAATCAGCAGTGGCCAAGGCCAGTAAGGTATTGTCATGCATGAAAAAGGGCATTCATTCTCGGGACGAGAATATCATTTTGCCTCTTTATAAATCACTGGTAAGACCACATATTGAATATGCTGTGCAATTTTGGGCACCTGTTCTAAAGAAGGATATTATGGCACTAGAAAAAGTGCAGAGGTGGGCTACAAAATTAATAAAAGGAATGGAACATATCAGCTATGAAGAAAGGTTAACAAATTTAAACCTATTTAGTTTAGAAAAACGTCGCCTGAGAGGGGATATGATAACATTATATAAATATATTCGGGGCCAATACAAACCATTGTGTGGAAATCTATTCACAAACCGGACTTTACACAGGACACAAGGCCATGCGTTTAGACTGGAAGAAAGAAGATTTCGTCTAAGGCAAAGGAAAGGTTTTTTTACTGTAAGAACAATCAGGATGTGGAATTCTCTGCCTGAAGAAGTGGTTTTATCAGAGTCCATACAGTTGTTCAAACAGCTACTAGATGCATACCTGCAAAATCAGAATATTCAAGGATATAATCTTTCAATGTAGGGTAATAACTGCTTGATCCAAGGATAAATCTGACTGCCATTCTGGGGGCAAGAAGGAATTTTTTTCCTAGCTTGTTGCAAAATTGTGCTTCAAACTGGGTTTTTTTGCCTTCTTTTGGATCAACAGCAAAAAGCAAATGTGAGGAAGGCTAAACTTGATGAACGCAAGTCTCTTTTCAGCTATGTAACTATGTAAATATATGTATGTCATCAGTCAAACTGAGGGAAAAATGTAAATGCATATTGTACAAAAGAGGCTGTGATAAAGAACAATAAAGAATTGTAACTTAAATGCCACCCATAAAGAAGGAGTATCCCATACAGGTAGAGGACTCAGGGATGTATTCAATATTTGTACAAAGATATTGCATATTTATTATTGACAACTCTATTTATAGTTTTAAAACCTCAATCAATTGCATATTATTTGTTCTGCATAATAAACATGTAAAAATGCCAATAAAGATGCTAAAAGCAAACCACATTTGTAGTGAAATGAATACCACATGTGAGCAAACGTAGCTGTTTTGGAAAAATTTTCCAACTCAGCTATAGACATATTTTTACAAAACTGCAATTTTAAATTCACTACAGTACAGCACTACAAGTTCCACAGCCACAAACCTACTTCATAACAGAGCACATTGTGTATATAATGGCAGCTAATGTCAAATATCCAGAAGAGCTTTCCAATTGCTTATACGTTTAATGGAGGCAAAACAGGAACTTACCTAAAATATCGCACAATGGACGTGTTTTTTCTTAAAGTTGCTGCCTTGAACACATTCCTCAGATAGATTAGCATTTTTTGCAAAATGTGTCAAACTCCTTCACAGTTAATTTACAGGTGACTGCAGTGGTTTTATAACCAAGGGAACTGAAACTTTGGTCAGTAATGTACGTATTGACTTACTTTTCGCTCTTTATTTTAATGGGCTGTGATTTCCCAATTGATCAAAGTGCCAGTGAATGGTTAGCTAAGAGATTTTGCCTAAACAAACAATCCCAGATTGTGTAATATTTATCTTTTTGGAAATTTACTGATTTGTGAAGATTTCTCATTTTGTAAACCAAGCGTTTACAAATGTCCTTAAATAACACATGAAGCGCAGTGCACAGTCAGGAGACTTACATATTGCACCCTCCATCCTTAACTCTTGTTTAGTTAAATGTTTGTTTTGCTAGTGTTAGTTATTGCACTCTAAGCCTCATTAATTTATGATGTTCCCCATTTATGACTTTTACCTATCTTATCTCTGCCATTCCCTCATATCCTTAAATTTAAACTCCCTTTCATCTGCTTTCTCCTTGATTTTGTTTTTAACACCCCAATGATTCTCCACCCATAATCTGCCTTATCTAACCCCAGATTCTCTCCTTTTAGCCTGGGCCCCTTACAATATTGAAACAGCTACACCCAGGACTCACAGCACACATCCCTGCAGGACTTGCCATAAGCAGAGGTAGCATTTCTGGAGGATCCCTTCCCACCCACCCTACCACACATCACGCCCTCCCCATGGTCATCACTATATTTATAGATAGCTCAAATTACCTAGCTTTCCTGTTAAACCAATTATGTCAAACACACCCTCCACACCTAAAATAGCTAAACTCACACAATACCTCTTTAACCCTCCTAACCACACTCACTTTCTTTCTCACTTCCCTCACTATCAATATCTCTCTATTATTTTACTTACCTGTTCCTGCTGATACCATCTTCATTGCTCCCTCTCTGCTCCCCTCATCTCTGTATTCATCACACACACTTTATTCATATTTATCCAGCCTTTCTCCACACACCCCTCCTAAATCCCCTAAATACAAGCTCCCATCCCCAACATTTAAATCTTACTCCCACCTTCTCTTCCTTTCCATCCTACTACTCCTAGCAGCTGGTGATATCTCTCCAAACACCAGAAACCACAACAACCTAATACCCATTCCATGTAATTCTCACTATAATTCCTCTTTTAAAGCTGCACTCTGGAATGCATGCTCTGTGTGCAGCACCTTTAAATCTACTTCCATCCATGACTTATTTATCTCACACTCCCTAAACCTACTTGCACTAACAGAAACATGGCTCTCTCCCTCTGATACTGCTACCCCTGCCTCACTGTCCTTTGGTGGTTTTCACTTTACCCATAATCCAAGACAAGCAGAGATTAAAGGTGGCGGTGTAGGTTTTCTTCTCTCACCCCACTGCTCCTTTAAAACCCTGTCCACCCCCCCCTTCCCTCTCTTTCCCATCATTTGAAATTAATTCAATTCGCCTCTTCAAACACTTCTCTGCTAACATTGCCGTTATCTATCGTCCCCCTGGTTCCCCTCTCCTCTTCCTTGACCACTTTGCTGCCTGGCTACCCTACTTCCTCTCTTCCAACATCCCATCCCTAATTCTTGGAGACTTCAATATTCCCATTAACCCACCTTTGACCCCAGCAGCCTCTAAACTACTTTCAATCACTTCCTCCCTTGGACTTTTGCAGTGGGCTAATTCTCCCACTCATGTAGCTGGCAATACCCTCGACCTTATTTTCTCTTCTTCATGTACAATATCTAATATCTGCAACACTCCATTTCCTCTCTCTGATCACCACCTCTTATCGTTTGCTCTCAATTACCCCCTCACCCAACAACCTCAGCCTAACCCCCCTCAACTCAGGAGGAACCTTAACTCTATTGACCTCCAGCAGCTGTCAGCTGACATTGATTCACAACTGCTATCCATCCCATCCCTCTCCTGTCCCTCACTGGCCATCTCCACATATAACACTACCCTCTCCTCTGCCTTGAACGCTGCAGCCCCGCTCCAAACATGCACCTAGAGGAGGACACGACCCCAACCTTGGCATACTAAATCAACACGCTATCTGCAGAGTTGCTCCCGTTGTGCTGAACGCTCCTGGAGGAAGTCCCGCACCCAGGCAGACTTTCTCCATTATAGATTCATGTTGCGTTCATACAGCGCAGCCCTTGCCCTCGCCAAACAGTTATACTTTTCCTCTCTCATTAGTTCATGATCCCACAATCCCAGACGTCTCTTTGACACCTTTAATTCACTTCTGAGCCCTGCTGCGGCCACCCCTCAAACTAACCTTACAGCTGATAGCTTTGCATGCTACTTTACCGACAAGATTGAACAGCTAAGGAAACAATTCTCCCCTCCTTGCCATTCTCTTTCTCAACCACACATAAATCATGCCTTCCCTAACCTTCAGACTTTCTCCCCGGGAACTGAACAAGAGGTGGCTGCACTTCTCCATTCCTCTCGCCCCACCACTTGCCCGCTCGATCCTTTCCCATCCCACCTCATCAGATCTCTCTCCCCTTGTCTTGTGCCTACCCTAACACACATCTTTAACTGCTCTCTCTCTTCTGGCACTGTTCCTGCTGACCTTAAACATGCCACTGTAGTACCTATCCTGAAAAAAACATCTCTTGACCCATCCTTCCCCTCTAACTATCGTCCCATATCGCTGCTCCCTTTCTCATCAAAGCTTTTGGAAAGACTTGTCTTTACCCGTGTGTCTCGCTTCCTCAATTCCAACTCTCTCCTTGACCCTCTTCAGTCTGACTTCCGCCCTCTCCACTCTACTGAGACTGCTCTCATCAAAGTCACTAATGACCTAATCGCAGCTAAATCCAAAGGTCACTACTCCATATTAATTCTCCTTGACCTCTCTGCTGCCTTTGACACCGTTGATCATGCTCTCCTCCTTAAAACTCTTCAATCGCTCGGTCTCTGTGACTCTGTCCTCTCTTGGTTTTCCTCCTATCTCTCCCAACGCTCATTCTGTGTCTCCTTTTCCAAGCATACCTCCTCGCCTCGCACTGTCTCAGTTGGAGTTCCCCAAGGCTCTGTCCTTGGTCCCCTTCTATTTTCTCTTTATACTGCCTCTCTTGGCAAGCTTATTGCCTCTTTTGGATTCAACTACCACCTGTACGCTGATGACACTCAGATATACCTCTCCTCCCCGGACCTCCCCCCTGCTGTCCTGCAACGTGTCACTGCTTGCCTTTCTTCCATCTCTGACTGGATGTCCTCACGCTTTCTGAAACTCAACCTCTCTAAAACTGAACTCCTTGTCTTTCCTCCTCCTCTCTTGCTCTCCCTTCAAGTCAGTGATATCCACATAAGTCCATCTTGGCATCATACTTGACTCTGGCCTGACCTTTGAGCTTCACATCCAGTTTGTTGCCAAATCCTGTAGGTTCCAACTCAAAAACATAGCCCGCATCCGCCCCTTTCTTACGCAAGATGCGACCAAAGAGCTTGTCCATGCTCTAGTAATTTCTGATTGTTCTCCCCAAAAGCCGTATTGCCCCGCTACAGTCTGTAATGAATGCTGCAACTAGACTGATTTTCCTCTCTAGTCGGTCCTCTCACACATCACCCCTGTGCCAGTCCTTACATTGGCTCCCTGTATCCTATAGGAGTCAATTCAAAGTGCTAACCCATACATTTAAAGCACTGAACAATTCTAGCCCCTCTTATATCTCCTCAATGATCCATAGGTATGCCCCTCCTCGTTCCCTCCGCTCTGCCCGTGACCACCTCCTGACCGCTGTTCGCACCCGTACAGCCAACTAGCGCTTGCAGGACCTCTCGCGGGTGGCTCCTTTCCTATGGAATAGCCTGCCTACCACCATCAGATTCTCTAGTCTTCAATCATTTAAGAAGAGCCTTAAAACCCATCTCTTTAGGAAAGCTTATGGCCTCCCAGAGTAACCTCTACCTTACATACCTGTCTCTTGCTCTCTCTACCCTCTCCTCCAGCTCTGCTGCACTCCCACCCTATTTGATTGATATTTCCTGTCCTAACGTGTCTTATACCCCACCTCCTATAGACTGTAAGCTCGTTTGAGCAGGGTCCTCTTCAACCCATCGTTCCTGTAAGTTTTCTTGTAATTGTCCTATTTAAAGACTGTAAGCTCGTTTGAGCAGGGTCCTCTTCAACCCATCGTTCCTGTAAGTTTTCTTGTAATTGTCCTATTTATACTTAAATCCCTCCTCCCCATAATATTGTGAAGCGCTACGGAATCTGTTGGCGCTATATAAATGGCAATAATAATAATAATAATAATAATAACCCTTTAAAGCAGGGCTTGACAAATTTGTTTGGAATCTAGGAGCCAGCTAAAAAAGTTAGGAGCCGTTTTTTTTTAAGGGACACTATAGTCACTAGAACCACTACAGATTAATGTAGTTGTTCTGGTGCCTATAGCCTGTCTCTGTAGCCTTTTAATGTAAACACTGCCTTTTCAAAGAAACACTGACAGAGACACACACAGTCTTCCTGCAGCTCCTCTCTGTTCCCTCGCACTGTCTGCAGTGATGCCAGGGCCGGAATGACGTCATATTCTGGCTCCCGGCATCATTACACAGCACGAGGGAGCAAAGGGGAGCTGCAGGAAGACTGCTCCGTCACATGCTGCCCCATCCTGCCGCCTCCATAAACTCCTGCGGGCGTGCAAGCGGGCGGCTACAAAGCTCCCTGAGCTGGCCGCCTCCATACCTGCCAGGGCGGCGTGCTACAACGCTTCCTGAGCAGGCGGGCAGCTGGCCGGCTCCATTGTTTGCCCAGCCGGCCACTTTAGGTGAAAGGCTGACACATCCCAGACGCCAGGGCAAAATTTCTAGTCGCCATGGCGACCTGGGATTTGTCGAGCCCTGCTTTAAGGACATATTAACTAGTCCAAATTCTGAAACAAAACAAGACCTAGAGTTTGAGCTATATGTTTGTTCATCCATTATTTACCTCTTTCACATTAAGTGCACTCACCCTTATTATATATAATTTGTTATGAACAAATAGGGCTTTCTTTTCACATCAAATATTTATATATAAACCATAATATGAATACAATCTAAATAAGAAATATTACTATTTTTCAAATTCAGCATGGTATTTTTTCCTGTTTATACCATAGTATGGCAAAGAAACACACATTTGTATTCTATGATATCCCACAACAATGGCTCCCATATACAGGTTTTCAATGATTTTTGGAAGTTACATGTACAAATTTTGGCCCCTATCTTCACACATGGAAATTTGACAAATTGTTTTAGAAACATAGAAACATAGAATGTGATGGCAGATAAGAACCATTTGGCCCATCTAGTCTGCCCAATTTTAAAAATACTTTCATTAGTCCCATGACTTATCTTATAGTTAGGATAGCCTTATGCATATCCCACGAATGCTTAAACTCCTTTCTGTGTTAACCTTTACCACTTCAGCTGGAAGACTATTCCATGCATCCACTACCCTCTCAGTAAATGAATACTTCCTGATATTATTTTTAAACCTTTGCCCTTCTAATTTTAGACTATGTCCTCTTGTTGTGGTAGTTTTTCTACTTTTAAATATAGTCTCCTCCTTTACTGTGTTGATTCCCTTTATGAATTTAAATGTTTCTATCATATCCCCCCGTCTCGTC